TGCACCAATACAGTTCAGCACCATGATCATGAGTGAAACCTGGAGGAGATAGTTGACCCTCACAGGATCCCATGTGATCCTTGCTCACTCACATTATCATTGTTAGCTCTGTAACCCAAGTACAGAATTTGGTGACCAGAAGCATCTATTTCTGTCTCTCTTGGAGAATGTATTCTGACTCTACAATCTAAATGGATTATGCTGACTTTCTATTTTATCCTTCAGGTAAACAAACCTGGTTTGGTTTGCCTATTGTGACATCTGTGTCTAGTCTTTTCATGATTTAATACTTTCCTCTTCATTGGCCAGCACAGGGATTGTATGAAGCCTAAACTCTAATCATGGCTGATAAGCTCTCCCAAGGCTAGATGCACCAGCCTTGTTCCCTAAGATATCCTCCCAAAGTTCTGCCTTTGACTTACAGCAAGTACTTTCTCCCACACCTCTACCCAGTACTCTTTTCCCCATTCTGTGACCCAGCAAACCCCTATCATTCTTTAGGCCTCAGCTCTAATGCCAATTCTCCCAGATAGCCATCTGTGACTCTCCCAGGTCACTTCTAGGGGCTTCCATGGTACCATGTAGGCACCTCCATCCCCACAAAAATCACACTGGCTTAGGGGTTGGTTTCTTATATGTAGCTTTCATTACACTGTGACAACTCAAGGACACTATTTCACCTGGCATGTTTGATACCATAGTAAGTGATTAATAAATATATTTACTAAATGAGTACACAGTTTCATGATAATGATCTTATTTTATTGATTGACTTTTATATGACCAGTACCATACTAGATTCATTCTCTCTCTCTCTCTCTCTCTCTCTCTGCCTGCATGTGTATGAATGTGCATAATCTCTACTCCTGTATATAACTTTGCAAGATTGGTCTTGCTATCCTAACTCTATAGTTGAGAAAAATAAGGGCTACATGACAGGGGGCACTATTCCATGCACAAATCTGGAATTTGGACCCAAGTCTACCTAAGCGTATGTCAGCATAGTTACTGAGCTGTATTTATATGAGACAACCTGTCTGTTCCTCAGCTTTCCCAGCCAGCCTCGCTGTACTCCCATCCAAGTCAGCCCATTCAATCTGGAGGCAGGGCTTCCAATACTCCTGGACCTCAGCCTGGATTCTATCCTTTATTTCCCGACTGGAATAGGTTGATCTGTCTGGCACTTCTTTTGAATTCCTTTCGAGCAAAAAGCTGGGCCTGGTCTTTCCCTACTGTATCCTGAGACTGTTGCAAAGGGTATAGTGTCTGGGGGTGGGGCTAGAGGATGTTTGTGTTTTTTTCAAGGGACATAGCTTCCATTAGGTCTCAAAGGAGTCTTCCACACAGTGAGCAAAAGGACCGCCAATAAATATTTTTGAAAGCTTTATTTATTTATGCATACAAGATCTGGGGTGTAGGCCAGAGTCGCAGGTGGTGAGAGGATTCACCAGAGAGAGAGTGGGGAGCAGAACAGGCAGATCTACTGAAATACACTGCTGAGGGGAGCAGTGGGTGAGACAGGAGAGGTCTGCTGCACCATGTGGGTCAGCTCTCTGGCAGGGATCAAACTCGTGCTGCAGTGGGTAGCAATAGCTTGATAGCCAGAGACTTAACCCCTGCACTACCAGGGAAGCCCCTCCAGTATGTTTGGATTTTTTTCCCTCTCTTCTTGTTTTTGGTAGGCTGTGCTAGGGTTGTTGGGTCTCCTGAAGAGCCTACTTCGTCCAGATTTACAGGAGACCTCCTTGACTTCTGGAAATGCTAAGAGTTTTTCTAAATCTCAAGTCCTTCACATATGAAATTGAGTGGGGTAAAATGGACACCTCATTTTTATCCCTTGCTTTCATATGTTGGGTCCAGTGGTTCCTGTGTGTTACAGAATCATTTAACTGTCAGCACATGGAGGTTACCATTATTTTTATGCACACATGGAGTCTTCCACACAGGAGAGGCCAGAGGTCCAGAGCAGTGCTGAGCCAGGGAGTCCTCTTCCGGGGTAGGTTCAGGCCCTGGCTCATGTCCTTAGCCATTGTGGTATCCTGAGCCCCACCCCAATTCCCACATTGCCCTGCAAAGCATCACACCATTTATTTATATTCAGAGATGATGCCTTAGCTCTCCAATGACCACATAGGAATGGCCTTTTTAAAAGGATATTCCCTCCTTTAATAGTGTAATAACTAGGCCATTGATGCTGAATTTACGATTCAGTTACATGTGCCATTAATTTGTGAGTTGCTTGATATTTCAAATTGCCTTGAATATTGCTATGTTTATATGTATACAGTATTTTTAATGTTGCCATTAACTTTATTGCTACTTTTATTATCTCCCACTAATGTTCCTCTCATTTTGTTATTAAATGAATATGGAAATTAAAAGCAAAGAATAAGCAAATTAAGGGCTTGTTTCTTAGACGAGAATGGAGGCATTATTTAAAAATAGATATATAATAATGATTTGCTTGCTTTTTAAAACTAATTTATTCCCTTTTCTTTAGAAATTTGAGAATCAGATTGTCCTTTGTGTTTTCCTAAGAGAAGGGGAACACCTACCCAGCACACTTTTCCAGTCTCAATGTGTCTCTGAAGGATTCATTTCCTCTGCTGTAGGGGTGGGGGTGTATTTTTATGTGACCATACTGATGGGGCTAACTTACTTTCACCAATTGCCTATTTAAGGATAGGCCCTGACTGTTTCCTTTAATATCAGTAACTTTGTTCACTCCATACAACCACCCTATGAATTAGTTGGTACTATTTCCATTGTAAAGTCATAGAAAATGAGCTTTTGATTACGTGGCCGGCTCAGGGCACACTGTTAAATCACTGTTGGTATACAGAGCTGAACTCAATTGTGTCAGACCCAGCACTTGCATTTATGGTTTCTAGTCTCTTCCTTCTCTCAGTTTCCTCTTATGTTTAAGGTGTTCTAGAATTGTAGACTAATCCCAAGACTTTTGTGTTTATTGAAGGAGTTGCAACCTTGCTTGAGGAATTTTCCTAGCTTATTAGCAAAGGAATGTGACATATGAGTAAAGACAAGTTTGTAATATCCTAAAGGTGATATTTAGATTGTGACACATGGTCAGGGTAACCACCACATGCTCAGAGGCATAATACAAACACCAGAGAGAATGTTAGCTTAGTGTCTACTTCCCATTGTATGTATCTCCTAGTGGGAAATAAAGGGGACCTAAGGTTTAGATTAGAAGGAAACTAAAAAAGAAACTCATCAGTCCACGGGAAAATTCCTTTGCCCAAGCCAACCATCAAAGTACAAAGTCAGGCAGTTGAGCACCGCACTGTGAAGCTGTTCACAGCCTCTGCAACACAGGTTTGATTCCGGCCGGCTGGCTAGCCGGCAAGAATCCCACATGGTATGGCAGATCTCTCCTGTCTCCCTGGCTGCTCCCCTCAGCAGTGTATTTCGTCAGTCTGCTTGTTCTGCTTCCCACTCTGTCTCTGGTGAATCCTCTCACTCTCCCGCACATCTGGTCTGTACCCCGGTTCTTGTATAAATAAATAAATCTTTTTAAAAAAAGTACAAAGTCAGGGAAACAGCTGCTCAAATTCCATCCTTCCTGCCCCAGCGGTGATGGAAACCATTGCAAAATTACAATTTGTGAAATTACACACAATCTGAGAGGTGGAGGCAATTTTAGAGATTTCTGAGTCAGCCTCCAAGGATCTACACCACGTGGCCTCCCACTACAATTTTGGATGGCTTCAATTATCAGCTAACTCTTCCATAATAAAATCATCTATCTTAGGGTTTGTAATGCTATCTTGATTGAATTGCAGAAATGGAGAACTTATCCTAGAATGCTGGCTTCTATTTAATTCATAAAAAATATTCAGATTAAAATAATGAAACCAACACTAGGACTAGAAATGTTTCCAGGAGAATCCATGTCCCAAGCCCCAACTACTTCTTTCTTTCTATTAAGGGTTGAAGGACAAGTGACATGGGCAGAAGGAAAGAATGGACAATGTCTCCTGAAAGTTCTGGGGAGTCTGTTCCTTCCTGAACTTGGAAGCTGATCTGGTGTCCCATAATCCTACCTATTTAGGAGAGGAAACGGATTATACTTCTAGTCATGAAGCCCAGTGTTCCATAAAGAGATTCTCTGCCTATTTTGAACTTCTCACCTGGAGATACTTTTCTGATTGGAACATCTACTCAACTCTTTTTTTTTCTCTTTTCCTCTAAGACAAAGGACGCTTTGAATAAAATTTTCCAGGGTCAGGATATCTTAGACCTCAGAGAAACTCTGGAACTGCACATAACTAGTTGAGCTGAGCAGACCTCAGCCAACCAGCCACATGGAGGAAGAGTGCTGTCAACATCCCCCAGCTTCTCCGCAGGCTGCGCACCCATAGGCTCTCCTTTTTGGTAGGAGCAAAGAGACATCGCGAGTGAGGGGAACCAGGCTGATTCTTTCTTTACAACAAGTTTTTATTTATTTTCTTTGACCCCCCCAAAAACATTATAGTTCTTTCTTTTGTTTTTAATGGTTTTCCTTTTGGATCCAAACGAGCATTTATATTACAGGGTATCCACCTGGCCAACATGCAGTGCTGAGCGCTGGCTTTAGGAGTGATGCACCGATACTCTGGACGGGCCAGCACTGTGCCATTCAGCAGTGTTACTGGAAGGGGCACCCGGCTGGCTCACGCCATGGATGCTGCCCATATGGAAGTGTCCCATGCGTCGTGACTATCATGTTTTGTAATGCAGGTGGCAGCGTTTTAACATCCAGAAGCAGAGCGCCCAGTATCCCTCTTGACCCCATCTGACAGGCTCATCCTTGAGGAGTAAACCACAGAGCGGATGGCCTGACCTTAGGTCCCAAAGGACATAGGGCAGACCTAGACACCCTGTGGTCCATACCCTCTCGAGGTTATCCTTTGGGGCCAGTACCGGTGCACCCTGTGAAATTTAAAATCGATTCCTGATAAAGCTCGCCCTTAGTCCCACTTACCCCTCTTCCCTCCCAGGATGATTACACCACTAGGAAGACCTGAAATCTCTCCACAATGGCCACTACCCTATTGAAAAGTCAAGATCATAAAGATTGTCTTCCAGATGCTTTAAAGCAAGAACCACCTTTTTCTCCATCTCCCAGATATGGATACATTTTTCAGGGACCTGTTAAACCTCTGAGGCCTTCAATTCTACTATTTTAGGTGAGTTTCATGGAAAGAACCCATTGGAATCCAGTATCATGCTAACATGATCCTAGTATAAAAGTCAATGCCAGGTGAGGCACCCATGTTGAAGCCCCCCCTTCTTGGGCCTCGCTGTTGTCTTCAACCTCAACCTTGTCTTAGTCCCACAGCTTCTCTTCCCAGCCTTTACCCCAGCTGTCCTTGCTAGGACATTCCAGTCACACTGGTGTATTAGATTTTTCTCCTCAATTTGTTTTTCTGGATGCCTTCCAAATTTTGGACTGTTTGAGTGAAGTTGGACTGCTCTCTAATGTCACCAAGAGGGAGGCCCCTCTGCAATTGCAGCACTTAGGGTGGCTTTGTATAAATTTTGGCTTGTTCACAAAACACCAGGATAGAAAAACACTGATTGAAGTTTGGCTTGCAGGCTAAGTATATATCCCCATTGGTAGCCATGAAAATTCAATACGAATGTTTTTACTAAATCTGCTGGGATCTGCTTAATGTTATACAACTCCGTATCAAATGTAACTAAGACCAGAACTACTATATACTTTGATTGGCAGTTAGAGTACATTGGTTAGCCCTCATTGCCTTTTACCTTTATTTTTAAAAATTGATTAATGGCACTTCAAAATTTTGGAGTGTTTTTCCTGCTCATCCCTTCTAGAGATTTCTAATAGGCCAGCTTTTTGCAGTATAGGCTATCACTATAAGAAATCAAAGTCCTAGAAAGACAACTAAGTGACAAATAAGGTCAAATTTGGATCTGGCAACTTTGATTTACTCTCCTCTTCTTTGGGGGGCCCCTCTCTATGTGAACAGTGGAAGAAGTGGTACCACCTTATACAAATTCTAGAACTTGGCTCCAGAATACAGAAATATGTCCATTCTTAGCTCTGACAAGCAGACACAACAAAAAAGAGAAAAGACTCATTCAAATTTCCATACTGGGAGGGAGAAGAGGTCTAAGTGAGGATCCTAAGTGTGTGTTTGTAGTTATTTTGTCTCAGATTGGCTTAAGAGTCCACCTGGAAAAGATACTGAGAAATTCTGAGCATGAAAACTCAACTTCCTTCCTGAATTAAAAAAAGTATTAAAGAGATAAGAAGGAGAGGAAGAGAACTTGGGGAAAGTAGTCTGGAATTCAAGTAAATCCCGGATTCAGGTTCTATTAAATTTGAAATGTCTTCAAAAAAATTAAATGCTTATAGCAAGGCCAAGAATATGATACATTCTAAGTGGGATATAAAGGAGTGGAGGTTATCTAAACTAATTTGTGAAGACTAGGTACTTTAAATGATGTGTTGCTTACAAACATCTGACATACCCACCAGCTAGCCAAGTGCTAGTATTTCCATCTTCCTAACAAGGGGAAAAAAGGCAAGCAATGGAATACCCTCTCTGAAGGCACAAGTTAGTACAGGAGGCTGGAATATAACGGATTAATTTTGACTTCCAATAATCTTCATCTATCTTAAAGTTTCTCATTAAGACATACATTTCATAGTCATTGGTTAAAGACATTCTGAAAAGAATCTGCATCCATTCTATTACTTCCTTCACTTTCACTGAAGTCTCCAGGCAGTTTTTTCATTAATCCAGGTTATATTTTAAGTCCCTAGGAGAAGACACCAAGATATGAACTGAGAAACAAGAAACAGAGGCTGACTTAGAAGAAGAAAGAAGACAAAAAAGAAACCAGAGAGAGAAAACAGTACTAGGTAACCTCAGATTTTTTACTCAAATAATGTATCATTAAATGTGATGGAATTTGTTTCCCAAAAGATTGCTGATTCAGAAGTTCCTCAGAGCACAGATTGATCTTTCTTTGCTTTTCTAGGGCAAGTCTGTTCCCAAAACCCTGCACCAAACATAAGACTGCCAACAGAAACATAAATGCTCTTAACTCTTTTTATGTGACCTACACGATTCTTTCATAACCCCAGAAGTAATAATTCAAACCTCAATAATGTATTTACATAGAAGCATGGCTTATTATAAAATCTTTTTGCAATTAGAAGATCAAGAGACTAGCCCCCCCCACCCCACCATGGAAGCAAGATGACAAAAGTGGAAGGCAGTTTGCTCCTCCCCACCTCACCAGCCCCCATGAAACTGAGGTGAGCCTCACCCATACTTCTCCACCAGCTGGCTGGAGAGAAGCTTCCCAACCCTTCAGTAGTTGGGGACCATCTATGGATGTGGTTTCTTTGGTGTGGAGTGATTTCTGGGACGCAAACACCTCTGACAGTCAAAGAGAAAGGGTTCAATGGCAGAGAAAGATGGCCCCTAGAAACCCAAGATAGTTCTTTCTGATCCCAAGCTTTGGTTCCCACAGGTGACATGTCTTTTACATGCATGTGGCAGCACATGGCAGCTGAAGGTCTCCTCAGGAGTCTGTAGCTGGCCTGACCCTGTGGCCAGAAGCCAGCAGTTGTAGCGCTGCTGTGGCAGACCTGGCCCAAGGCAGAACAGGGGTGAAACACAAAATTAAAAGACACAACTATGGGCACAGGCAGTTCTTGTTCATGTGGAATCTCTGATCTACCTCACAGACAGGATAGTTCCTGGCTCCTGAGTTACCTTTGTTAGGCTTTTGTTAAGAGTCTCAGAGTGGTGATGTTTAAGTGATCAATGACTGGAACAGGGACCAATTTCCTGTGGAGCACTTGGCTGGGGTTAAGCCATCACGCCTTGCCTGGCCACATATGAGGAGCTGCTTTCCTCGTTTTCTGCATCATAAAGTCCTCTCCTGAACCCCCAGGGCAGAGCACAACACCCTGGGCCCCAGAGGGAGGGAAGAGGGATAGGACAGATGAAAAGGAGAGAGTCCACCACAAGGTAGGGACAAGCCCCTCCCATCACAACTCTTTGCAGCACCAAACCTTGGAGGGTCTCAAAATGTAAAGCCTTGAAACTGATGAAAACAAAAAACAAAACCATAAGTGGAACTTTCTTAACCTTCAAGTCTCACAAGATCCCTGCAGGGTAGGTGACTATCTGTTCCTTTCCCGCTGTCCTATGTGCCTCTATATACATCCTGGCAAATTTATCATTGAGCAAATCCTTAATTAAAACTCCTGATTTGTCCCTGGCTTGACCCCATAATACTTGGGCCAAAAAATGAATATCCAGAGCAGACTTTAGAAATAGGGTGGAATGAGAGAGAGCTTTTTCTTAGAACCAAATTTTACATAATTTTGGTTTTCTGTTATGCCTGCAGAGAACTTTCTCCTGCAGAGGATTTTTTTATGCAATCTGTGCACATTTTGTCTATAATCCCCCTCTCAGTCCTGTGCCTTTCATTCTTCTTCAGATCATCTTGTGATTATCGCGTTATGAATTCCCAACTTTTTTTCATGAGAAGAAAGTGTACCCCAATAGCAGAGAGCACAGCAGAGGCAGGCAGGTGAGCAACTAAGCTGGGATCTGATGGATTTAACCATCTTGGGAGTTGGGTCAGAGGTACATGCAGCAAAACAAGGGCTGGCGTGGGGACAGAGGGTTCAGCATGTGGGATGTGTAGGGGGCAAGACAGGAGGCTGGCTGCGTAGAGGAACATGGAGTTTCTCTTGCCATTGCCAGAAGCAAGGGAGGGCAAAATTTAGAATATCTGAAGTTCAGCCCCAGAGAAATGTTGTGTGTGATCTCAGCACCTGGGGGATGATGAGAGAATAGTTTCTTCAGCTAGAACAGACAGGCCCATACCGGGCAGTTGTGTTTATGGCTCGGGGATACTCAGGGCACTGTCTCTTTCTGGTAGAGATAACTCTTTCCTGACCTTGGCCTAGAGTTGAGGGTGCTGGCCCCCATTGTTGAAGGCCAGCTGGTGCTCTGCCCTCTTGGTGACAGAGAGAGGGACAGGCAGGAATTCCCCACCAGAAGTCTGGGGCCTTAGGTGAAGGGAGAGGTGAATGCAAACCCAGTTGAACACCTGCCTGGGATGGTTTTCTTTCCCTCCTCTTTTTCCACACCCTCCCTCCATTGCTTGTTTAGAAGAGATGCTGAAGATTAACATTAGCAAAGCCAACTGGACACAAAGCTAAAGATTCCTCTGAAGAACCTACTGTACTAAATGTTATGTTGTGTATCTAAGGCTTCTTTTGCTTTGAGGGGCTTAAGATGCTGTCATATTTTTGAACCCAAAGAGGGTTATTCTGACATCTAAAGGGACCTCTTTTCCAGAGATGAGACAAGGTGGTTTCTGGTACCTAGAGGGGCTGCCCTAGCCACTGCTGGAGGGGAGGTTGGAATTCATATCTATTCAGAGATGGAAGGAGGTCATTACAGTATGAGATCCTTGACTTAATAGAAAATTCGTTTTTACTTTCTGGTCTTCATAGAAGGGTAAGTGCAGGCTAAGGGGTGAGAAACCCAATCCCTTGGGTCAAGGAAACGAGTTCATAACCCAGGTGGTCGGTCAGGGACCATGTCTGTTGCTTTATATCACTTTATTCAGGACTCAAACACTTGTGTCTGTGAGTTTAAGGAGTTCGGGCGTCTAAGGAGGTTTCCTAGCACAGTCAATTTACTGTTCGTAATGTTGTGTGCAGGCAAATTCCACTTCTGGTAATTGCTCTGCCAGCCTAAATTTCTCCCACTATTGAAATGGCATAAGGTATCACTTCAATTCTCTTTCTCAAAACACAATGCAATAGACACGCTGGCTCAGAATGGCCTTCCTGTTGCAGGCCTTTCCCTAGGGAAAGCTGTATTTCCAAGGTGGAAGAAAGCAATTTTGTGCACACAGAGCAGCCCATAGCAGCACTTTGGCAGGAGATGATGCTGAGCAGAGGAAACCTTTCCAACACTACAGGGCCCAGCATCTGAGTCTTACGTAACTATCACGTCTGTTGGGATCGGGGTGCTCATATTCCCAGCTGCCCTCCGGCACACATGTGCTAAGCAGGAGAGGAAAGTAGAAGAGGGCTTGAGAGTGGGAGGCCATTGTCTCTGCCTCGTGAGTCTCCTGCCATGGGACGACTTTGGTTTGGGGGCTGACCGTGGGTCATGAAGCTCCATCACTATCTAGAAGGTGGGGCCATGATGAATGGTGCTACAGCCACATGATTGGATTGGGCTTTTGGAGGCTGATGTAACTGTTTCAACCCAAACAAAAAAACTACAAACCAAAATTTCCTCAGAAAAAAAGAGGTCTTCTAAGATAAATAGCAACCACCGACTGCTCCTACTCCAGGGTCTGTCTGGGCTGGAGGAGGATAAAAAAGGTGCCTAGACACTGTGATCTTTGTCCTGGGCCTCTGAGTCTCCCCAGGGAGGGTCCTGTGAGGCAGGTTCCACTGGTCCTTGTCTGGGAAAGGGTGGCCCTTCCTCACCTCTGGAGAGTGAGGAGGGACTTTCGGGAAAGGTGCCTCTCCATCAGAGAAAGACAGTGCCATGTTTGAGCCAGTGGATAATCTAGACTGAAGGACACTGATTAGCTGAAAGGTCCCACTTTCTGAGTTTTTTTAGGGGGTGAGAAAGGACATAGTGGCCTCAGGCTGTTGTCTGTCCAGCTCTTACTCTGGGGAAGGGTAAAACCCAGTGCTGGCCCAGGGCCTCATTACGTCACATTGCGTGATGAGGCCCCATCAGAGCCTGCTTTGCTCGAAGGAGCAGTCCAGGCTGAAGCTGAGGTATATTTACTAATAACCTTAAAAGTATCCTGACAAACTGACCCGCAACCACAAATCAGCTGCAGAAGCTGCCACCATCAGTCCTTCCTTGCAGGAGGTCTTAGGGGAGTGCAGACTGACTTTCATGGAAGCTTCTCTTGTTTCTCTCTCGGCCTTGCCCATTTCTGTAGGAGTCCCTACTAGGCGACGTGTGACCTGCCTCGGGTATGTGTGTGGCCCTCTTGGGGGAGTGGCAGGGAAGGCTGGGCCTCTGGCTGCCCGGTGGAGAGGCCCACTCTCTGGGCCAGAGTGTGGGCTCTGACACTGAGCCATTGTGTGCTGGGGCAACTGCCGCACTGTCCACAAGCAGAATGACTACTGTACGGGCTGGAAATGGACGCTGCCTAAGTCCCCCAACCGCACTTAGCTCACCCTCAGTGTCCCCCCCATGACCGGTAGCTTTGGGTCAAAGGCCTGACCTGGGGCTCCAGCAGTAAGGCTGGACTCCACTCTCTTCAGCTGGTGCCCTGGCTATAGAGCTATTAATGCTTTTCCAAAATGATGCTTAGCAGAGTTGTAGGTGCCTCTAGGGCCCCCAAGTACCCTCAGCCTCTTCTGGTGCTCACAGCACCTACTGTGTACTAACAGACCTGCTCCCCCCAGGACCACCCTTTCCTCCATGGCGTGGCTGCTGGGCTATGGCTTTGCTCATCCAGACCAGCCCTTGCTGCTGCTGCCACAGCACTCTGACCCCTTCCATGGCAGCTTGTCCTCCCTCCCTGGCTTCCCCCACCTTGGCAGCCGATGCTCCTGAACTTAGCCTGTGCTTCTTGGGGGCAACAAGTCACAGGAGGAAGCATGAGATGCTGCTGTAGCGCCTGGCGGCAGTGGTGCGGTGGAGGGAGGAGGGTGCTCTCCCACAGTCTCCATGGCTCCCCAGTGTAGAGCCAGAGAGTCTTCCAGGCTTCTCGGGGCAGTACGCATAGACACAGGCCGGCTCGATCCCGCCACGGCTTGTAGAAAAGTGGGAAGAGGCCAGGGGAAGCATAGCCATCCTCGTGTCCCTTCTCCTGTGGGAATAACCCTCCATGTTCTTGGAATTTCTTTCCCCAGCAAAGAGGCAGAACTATGGCAGTGCCTATCTTGCAAAGGGGAAATAAAGCAATTTGGTGGGTTTGACTGGTTTGTCTTTTCCTTTCTCTCCTCTGACATTACATGGTGTCCTTGCTTCTTCCTCCTCCCTCTTCCTCCCCCCCGGGCCTCACAGGCTTCCCAATTCGGTCTTGATTTTCTCCATGTGAGAGAAGAGCATGCATCGGAGGGGGGAGCAGCCTCTAGCATTTGTCATCTTCTTCCGTGTCACTTAGGAGGTCGCTGACAGCGCCGCACATCATGCCTGGCCCAGGCCCCCCACGCCTCCGCCGCCGGTAGTGCCCATTGGGCATCTGCCAGCTGTGCCGCAGGGGTGGGGCCGAGCCAATTGTGTTGGAGCGGCCCAGGCTGGTGGCCACCGCTGCTTCGAAGGTGAGTGTCTCCTCCTCACCACAGTCCGAGGTGTGGGAGTCTTCGTGCAGGGCCAGGTAGGGCTCGGAGATGTAGCGCTGTGGGGAGGCATGCTGGCCCTGCTGTGCGTGCCGGGAGCTGGAAGACTCGGTCAGGCCGGCCTCGTTGCTCTCCAGAGCTTGGGAGGCCAGCGGGGAGCCGCCCTCGCTGCCATCAGCGGGGGGAGAGACGCTCCCTGTGTGTCGCATCAAGGAGCTGTAGGAAAGGAGGGGCCGAGGCTTTGGAGGGACCGGTGGGAGCTGCCGACGACTTCGCCTTGGGGTGCTGGTGTCCGAGATGGAGGGAATGGAGCTTTCGCTCAAGGAGCCCGTGCCCTGTGCAGTGCGAGAGACACAGCCGGTTTAAGCTGGGTTTGGCATCATCCCTATTTGGGACCCAATCAAGACCCCTAATGCCTCCGAGAGAGCTCTTGGTTTGAAGCCCAGTGCACTAGGGGACAGAGGTCTGAGCTGGAGACGCCTCTCCTATAACACACATCTACTCAGGGGTGCGGGGATTAGAGACGGAGAGCGGTCAGCGTCATCTAAACTAGGGCATGGCCACTGCCAGTATGCTGATATGTTCAGTTGCAGATGCAGGCCAAGGAGATGTGAGTGAGGCTCAAGATTCTGCATTTCTTTTTTTTCCTTTTTCCTTTTTTTATTTTAACATTTATCATTTTTTACATTTTTTAGACAATATTTGCTTCCCCCCACCCCTCAGATTGATCCCCAGAGAATCTCCTTCCCCAAGGCACCCAGGCACCATCACCACAGTCCCCTGTGCTCCTCCCTCCTTCCCTCTCCCTCCTCCTCCCGTACAGTATGTCTCTGGTTTATAATCGTCTGTTTTTGCTTTGTGGTGTTTTGTACTGTTATTATTATTTTACACTGATGTCTTATTTGGTTCCCCTATATTCCTGCTATAAGTGAAACCATACTCCCAGGTGCTGCTGTTCCATGGAGCAAGCTGTAAGTAGCAAGCTCTAGAAGCTCTAGCTACCTAACAAGTGGCACACTGAAAGGTAAGTTTTTTGGAGGTACTCTGCTGGGAAACCTTTCTTGGGGAGGGAAATTGTAAATACCTTCCCTCGCCTTCACTTCAGCCTCTGTCTGCAGTGGCTTGCTGAGGTTAACTCAGCTTCTGTACCTCACATGCTCACCTGCTGGTTCAGGTCTTATCTAACCTGCTCACCTATTCCCCAGGGAACCTGAGGCAGGTATTGATAAATGGACCTTATAAATCATCTGCTCAGAATGTCCCATATACAGATATCTTGGTTTTGCTTACAAGTGGGTCTCACTACGGAAGTAGAATATTCTTGAAGTTCCAAGAACATGTAGTTATCACAAGCCCTAGGTGATTCTGCACTGTGTCCTCCCCTCCCCCTATTGCTGTTGGACACCATTTCTGGACTGAGCAGCAGAGGTGGAGGTGCAGGGGAAGACAGGGCCAGAGAATGTTTCCATACAGCTCTAGTATTTCAGTAAAAGGCCAGACCCCATTTTTTCTTGGGATGGCCAGAAGCTAGGTAATGAGATTGAATTGCTCTATTGTAGGGATCTTAGATTGAGTTCATTTTGCAGCCCCACTAATACTAAGGCCCATGCAACTGACTAAAGATACTTCTCTGGCTCCAGAACTATTCTTTCCTCCCAAATCTGCCTGAGACATTTTGTGAATTTACTTGTGGTGACTCTGCCTCTGGAGCCTAAGGACTGAGATGGAATGATCTCAGACACCATCATCTTTCTTAGGGGATTTTTTTTTGTGTGAATTTGTATCATTTCTGAGTACAGAGCATTAAGGAATAGAGCTCCATGCAAAATGGGCACAGTTTCCTGTGAAACAGTTTGTGTGGGTTCAAATCTTGCTGTGGGGTACCCATAGTGTGCACTTTGGATTGAACAGACCACCCTCTCTCTGCAGAAGGCTCGACTTCCCTGTCCCCGCTCACCTGTCTGTTGGGCGTCTGTGACCTGCCCTCGCTGGGAGACCTTGACTGGCGGCGCTCTGGGGACTCCCAGTCGGCCTGGGTTCCCCGCTCCTCTGAATTGCAGCGGGAGACATCAGGAGAAAGAAGATGCTTACGCTCTTTGGACCGCCCCCGTTCTCTGCCCCCTGAGCGGTGAGTGTCAGACTTGTGGCCTGTGAGACGACAAGAGCAATCATCACAACCCAGCCTGCACCCATTGTGGAGGACAGAGATGTCTCAGAGCCTGGAACCCTCTCCCTAAGGAATCCTGGCTTCTCTGGCATGTCAGTGGGTGGTCTGAAAAGGTGGCAGGAGACAAAGGCTGAAAATGCCCTTTTGTGAAGAAGTGAGTATGCAAACTGCCATGGAAAAGATGTACATGCCAAAGGATGTGGTTGTTTCTTAATGCTAAGGCATGCCTGAGATGGATTCTTTGCCCAAGAATTCTCTATGTCCTAAACATGGGTGACACTTGGTGGGAGGGAGGGGGGAGATATTCCAGTAAAAGGGAATTAAGAAGTTGCTAAGAACTAAAATAATGACACAGCTGGCATAATGTCAGCGATGAGAACCATGGCATTTGTTATAGTCAAAGAACTTCAGTTCTAGTCCCAATTCTGTCACCTATTGGCCTGAGAATATGGGGCACATCACTGCTTTTGATCTTGGTTTTCTCATCTAGTAACATAAAGAAGTTGAACCAGCTAATGATTTTCTAGCTCTTGACCAATATGACCCTTTTTCTTTAATTCAAGTTTCTGAGCTTTGTTTTTTAGTGGAGCTGGTGGTTAAATCCCAGCTCCTGCTGGGGATCTCTGATACCTAGGGAACTCCAGTGGCTTGACAGAAGGCCTCTGAAAAGTCTCAATCCTAATTTCTGTAGCCCTACTCTGGAAGAAGGGAAACGTAGCCGCCTTTACGATGAATAGCAAGGGCTTTGGGGACCTGAGTCAGCTATGGAATCCCCTTTGCTCTTTATCTGAATTCTGTTCCAGTGATTTCCAATGCTTGCTGTTGGGTCAAATAGGGAAGCCGCCTCACCTGAATCTGAGTTCAGGCGATGAGCTGACAGCCGTAGGGAGGAGTGGTAACTCCGGCGGCGAGACTTGTAAGTGTTTTCGCTGCTTCTCTCCATGGAGAACTCCTCCAGCCATGAAGAATTGGAACGCTTATCCCGAATAGTGGAAAACGATCGTCTCATGGAGCTGGGGTCTGTCACCACCTAGAAACATGAGCCCCCAGTGGAATACAGGTATGGATTAATTACCGAAAGGATTTAAAAGTAAAGAAATGGGGCTGAGGTTGTTGAAGAATAAAAACTGTAATCCCTACAAACGTAACACCCCTTGAATCCCTCTTTTTCAGACTGTAGCTGGAGGAGGCTGTGCTAGAAAATGTCTTTATGTCATATTAACATAGTTACTGGGGACTGACCCAGTCTTCTCTTTGTGCTCAGGAGAGGATACCCCTCCACACAGAGCCATGTACAACGGGGGTTCAGCCAGGCCCTGCAGTGACCCTTTAATCTCTCTTAAATATGTGAGGGCAATTGAGAAGGTCCCACCCTATATCACTGGAGAAACAGGAGAACCTATAATTTAACAGCTACTAAGAATGCATTGCTCTGCCTTATCAGTCCCACCTTGCGCTGCCTTAAGTCTCCCATTTTGATTTGCTACAACTGTTAATACAGATCCACAAAGTTCTTGTCTCTGTCAAAACTGGATGTAAGACAGACAGACAGAAAATAGAAGCCAGGAAAACAGACAAAGAAATGAGGCGTGGCCCGCACTGGTTAGGACAGACAGTCCTGACACAGAGGTGCATAAGTAGGTGACTACATATTTGCTGAAAGAGCCAGGAAAAGGGGAAAGGAAGGAAATAGACCAGGGAAATCTAAGAAAATAGATCTGATATGGCTAGTTGAGTCTTGAAGATGTTGCTCTCAGGGAGGAGGCGCTGTAGAGAGTTTCATGTACCAGATTTTGCTTTCTTTGGGGAAAGGGTGAGAGTAAGTCAAGGGCTCACCTGAAAATATCAGATGTTATTTTATAACCCACCGATTCAATACAGTCTAAGGATGCCACTGCAAGTGGTAAGTGGTGGTTGCTTTTTACCTGGGGATCCATAGTCAGACGTGGCATAGAGGCTGCCCTCCCAGATCCCGCATGCTCCTGGGTGTCCGAAGGAATGTAGATGCCATGGTTAGAGGGCTGCACGCTTTTTAATTCACTAACCTCTGGCTCCTGGAAATAAACACACAGCCAAGCTTGTGGGACTTGGTTCCATCTCATTGCTTCTCACTTCCAGTGGATTATTCTGCCTCCTCCATACCAAAAATGGCTTTTCGAAGAGAGACATCTTTCACATTGGTTGTATGTTTGTGTCTATGTGTGCATATTGGTGATACACGAGATGTCCCAAGCCAAAAGCTCAAACTGGGATTGAGAGGTAAAGATCACCTTTTCTAGTCTTGTATCATCTCACCACCAAACGATACTTCCTATTTTATAGTTCTGTGAAACAAACACTACTGGTCATAAAACTTTTTCCAATATGTGAAGTTTACTTTTGGAGAGTTGGTATTGTTGGGTTTATTTTAATCTGAAGAAGCCATTTATCAACTAAATAGGAATCAGCAGTCTAAGCAAAGCCACCAATTCCAGATGTCATATAGCTTCTTAAACCTTAAGATATGGTTTTATTAACTAAGAGTTTTCTTATAGTTGAAACCATCCCAAAATGGTGATGGGTGGCCATCTCTTGAAAACTATATAGTCTAATAGAAACATAGTGCAAATGACTTATGTAACTTAAAGAAACTCAGGAAATTTATTTAACCCAATATATCCAAATATTCTCGTGCCTACATATAATCAATACCTAAAAATGAATGCCATTTTGCATTTTTTAAATACCAGCTCTCTGACACTGGTTCGTATTTTACACTGACAGCTCATCTCAAATTTTGAGCCATTTTTCAAGTGCTCAATTGGGACATTATATGGAGGCTGTTATTGAACTGGCCAATGCCCCTCTACAGAGTTAGAAGATTGGATTAGAACTCTCTAAGGTCCGGTCCAATTTTGTTGTTTTCCTGATTAAAGAATGTTAATTGCAAATGCACATCCTCTACAGAGCTAGCTAATGTCACTGCATAAAGAGTGGAGCTGACTTAGAAATATATTTAAGTGGGCCACCAAGTAAAGAACATCTTGGAGGTTATAGCAGGGAAGAGGGAAAAGCTATTCTCTGCTATTCTACATTTAGGAAATGATACCCTAAAAACACTGGTATAGGAGTAGGGCACTGCCAAAGGAAAAGGTGCCCCCCCCTAGTCTCCATGACCTTTTGGTTAAATGGTGCTGGTGTAAATGGGGGGCTGCCTTCCCAGGACATGTGACGTGTGCACTGAAGGAAGTCAGTGTTTTGCGAGGACATGCTTTGTAGAGCACACAGGTCTGACTTGAAACACATGTGGTAACACATACCCCATATGCACACACACACATTATGGCCACGCCTCAGGACGTGGAGCAGGGGCCCCGAGGGATGGGCAGGAGCACACAGTGGTGAGTGTGTAGCACAGGCTGACACTCGGATTGAATTACAGACACCAGTACTGACAATGAGATGAACACACATCCAGAGTCCTGGCACTACGGCTCAGCCCTGGGGACCCGAAGAAAGGATCATGGAGTAAAAAAGGCTTCCTGTGAAAGAAAGGACACATTATTGAGCTTTTCCCCCACCAGGCAAACAAGCTGTAAAATGCTGAGAGGCCCTTTTATGAAACAAATGACCTGTGCCAATTAGTCCCTGGGCCTTGGTGAAAGGTTCCTCAGTGGCAAGAAGGCAGAGAATTACGCCAAGGTTGTCTGCCCACCTTACTGAGAACACCCTCGGGCAATTACATGGTGGAGAGGTCCGGTCTAGCTGTCTGCCCAACACAGCACAATTTCCTGTGTCAGCAATCACTGGGGACGGATCCAGCCATTAATGCTTGAATTACTGAAGTAATCTGTCCCTCTGAAGGTGCCCACTCCATCAGACATGCACGCCACAAGCTGGCTGCCCCTGTCACCCATTCAGGATGGCCCTGAGATACCACAGGAGTGGAGAGGGGTTGGAAGATAAATCACAGATGAAATATAATCAAAGCAACGTGGAACTCATTGGGCTTTTGCTTATGTGGGGCTTTGTCTTTTTTCTCTCCAGGCCAGTGTACACCCAGCTTTCATTTTATGCTCAGAGGGGATTTGATCTCATGGCTCCTGAATGAAGAACCATGGTAAAGTTTTTCTGTTCTGAGAATCACATCATCCTTGTGTTAGCAAAATCTAAAGTTCCATCTGCCCTGTTTTCCCCAAGCTCAAATTGGTGCAATTTGTTGTTCAGGAATTTTACCAGTTACACTATTGCCCACCTTTAGGGACTCCTTAGAATGTATTTGACCTTACGGAATTGTGACCAAAAGGGTCAGTTTGCCTGCACCCAAGCACCTGCTACTTGAGGTCTCTAGGAGAGCTGGCTTGGGGGCATTCCTGTGTTCCCACAAGTAGCCCAGTTGGTGCCACTTAGTCTATGATTGATCCTAAGGCTCCCTACATCAAAGGCAAGATCTTATTTGTGACTTTTGCTTCAACAGTCCATGTTAAAGGGAAGCAACTAAAAAGTCTGGGCTGGAAGCAATATATGTCCCTGCAGCAGGTCAGGGGCTTTGGGACTCTAGTAGTTGTACAAGGGAGCATTTGTCAGAAGCTAATGGGAGCTCAGTTATGAAAGGGGGAGGGAAGGAAAGTCCCAGGGTAATTGGTTGGACTATTAAAAAGGGCCCCTGATCGACCATGGTGATGAAATAAAATTTGAAAATGCCAGCGGGGCGGGATCAGGAAACCCTCTAAGTATTTTTGAGGTCATGTAACTCATTCATTCACCAGAGATTGCTGTTCCTGGAACTGTCCATCATCAGCTGGGTCCATACAAGCCAACTGGAATATTTCCTGGGGGGAGAGTGGACTCATCGACGTGTATCCACTACGGCCACTCCTGAAAAGCAAGGTCAAACTCAGAGGTAATGTGTACATACGAGATAGAGAAATAGTCATGGCAGCAGCCACCGCCAATCCCACCCCAAACTAGACTTCCTTCCCGGCAAGGGCAGCACCCATCAACCTTGACTGGCTTGTAACCCTGGTGCTCCTCTGGAGAATTAACAGGTTGGGGTGGAAATCTACGGTCCTGTGCAACTATTTTTCTGGTTACTGGGATATAGATTAGGTTACTGGTCCTAGAATAGAAAATTAAAAAAGAAAAACAAAAAACAGCATTGGAAAAGAGAAACTACTGCTTTCAACCTGCATATGGAACCACTCATTCTGCTGGCGACCAGCATATCTGTGACAAATGACATCATTTGTCACACTGAGCCATATGGAAGACCAATGCTAGATTGTAAACTTGTTTCTGCTCAGTTTCTCCAATTCGGCAGAAAAATGCCATAGTTTAAACAGTGAACAGTTTGTTTAAATATTAAGTAGGCATGGTCTTTCAACAAATTTCCTCCACACTCAGTAAGAACAGGCATTTATTTTAGTGTCACTGTATCTGGCCAAACTGAACACTTAATATCATGGACATTTAATGTCTCTGCCAGACACTGTGTGTTGGTTTGTGACCACCAGAGGGATGGTTTCAGAAGGGTGTCGAGGAGGTAGCAACATCTGGATGGAGGGCTCTGTGGGAAGATGCTTAAATGGTGATAAGTGTCTAGAAGCCTCTGAATGAAAGAGATGGAAAGTGTCGCCTGTTGTTAAACCACTGACTCTGCCAGACTCATAGTCCAAGGCAGAGCCAGCCAATCTTCACTGAGAGTTTGCTTGCTGTTGCTTCTGGGATAATAAGTTACTCTTGACCTGCTCAGGAGTGCAGAGTGAGTGGTCGGTGCTGGGCAGCAGCTTCCTCTGGGTGGTGTTAGAGTTAGGAGGGAGAGACAGGACACCCTTTCTCCAGTGTCAGACTTCTGTTCCAGGGAAAGCCATTTCCTTGTGGAATCTGGTGCTAATGGAAAACTCAAAGCCTGAGCAAGGATTGCTAGTTACTTAGCATAATCCACAGGTACAGTGGCAGCACCTGGAGTGGGTTCACAGGGAGAGACATGAACAACAGAGAATCCCCGAATCTGTGCTGTTGCTGCCAGTGAGCTGAATTTTCACAACTGCTCTAGAGGAATTGACCTTCAAGCAGGTCATTTAAAACCCAGTCATCTACCTCAGTGTGCCTCTCCTGAGAACCACTGGGAATGGGCGAATACTGTGATATACAAAATGAGTAACTGCAGAATTACCTCCTTGGACTCACTGAACAACCACCTAGAGTTGAATAACGGGCACTCAGAGCGACCTCTTGCTTTAAAAAATTTGAAGGGCAACAGGCGAGATGCTGAATGTGGCCTTTCTGAATGGTCCCTGCCTCACCAGCCACCCCCATGTATTGGGTTCGCGAGGCTTCTTTCTGCCTCAGACACAAAAGCCACTTCCTAAGGAATCTCCCCACCACTTTCCCCATCACATGCACTGAGGTCATGCTGCACTTTTTTCTTCTTACCACTTTTCAGAACTGTAATTAGATCATTGAAAATGACAAGTTTCCTCTTTCCAATAACGGGTTCCAGAAACAAACCCTGCTGTTCCACTGGGCCCCTATTTCAGAAAATGTAGCAACAGCCACTTAAAGGCTCAAACCAGAAACCCAAGGGTGATCTTTGACCCTCTTCATGTAGCAAATCCGTCACCAAATCCCATCCACTCTAGGTATTAAATATCTACGTCTGACTCTCCCCACTTCTGTGAGTCCAAGTCATTAATAATTTACACAATTGCCATCACCTCTTAAAAGTGTCTTGTCACATGAATTGCTCCCTTCTGATCTACCAAGTCCACACTGGATTCAATGATCTTGGAAAGCCCCAATTTGGTCATGTCGGTCTGATGTATAAAACCCCACATCTCTGGAGGAAACTGAGCAAATGTGTCCTGCTTGTAATACCCCTAAGTTCTGGCACCTGTGTGCCTCTCAAAAGTCATGACCTGCCCCCTCGGCTGAGCTCTCACAGGTCCAGCCATCTTGAGAGTTTACCTGTGAGTCCCTCTGCAAACCAGGGGTGCTGCTGCTTTTACATCGCACTGCCATAGCCTGCCCTGGTGAATCTTCAAACCCTCCTGTGGATCTGGCCTGTACCCCAGTTCTTGTATAAATAAATCTTTAAAAAATGTATTAAAAAAAAAAAAAACATTGACGGGGTAGAGGACCCATGGCCCCTGAGGCTCGCCCCATGAGCTCTCTGGATGGAAAGGTAATGCTAGGAGGTACGGGTGCTACGATCGGTCATTTATAATTAACAACCAGTTTGGGATTCAGAAGAATTTGGTCCTTAGTTAAGTTTTTGCTTCTACTTTCTACGAAGGTTTTTTCGTGTGTTCCTGATCTAAGATTTCTTTTGTTCATTACAGATCCAGTGCAATGGCGAGACTCTAGACTCAGAAGATAACAGACTTGAATTCCAGTTCTGCCTCCTGCCAGCCGTATGGCCTTGGGCAGCTTCCTAAGCCTCCATTAACATGCTCCAGCTCCTACATAAAGTGGTGATACTGACAGACTCTATGTCATTTGTCCATTCACACTGCTCCCTGTGCTTTCTCCCCTTATTCACCGAATGACCATCTCTAGATGCAGCCGTGGAGAAAGACTCATTCAGCTCAGAGCTGTAATTTCTTGGGCCCCTCAGGGTGACTGGTTTCTGGGCCTGCACGAGGGACAGGAGGGCTGTAGACACTCTCATACTCACAGGCCTGGGTCCTGCTGGAGATAAGGCAGGGCTTTGGCATTAGCGATGATCTCCTGAGGCAGGGAGGAGGGCTCCATGCGCTGGAACATGGGTGCGTTTTTCTGTGTTAAAAGTGGGAAGGAGAAAAGAGGAAGTCAACTGATTATAAAGGGAAATACTGCTTACTGTTGGGGTACAAGGAACATGATCCATACCTGGTATGATCAGTTTAATGTTTTGACAAGCTGGGATTTTCATCCCATAGATTTTAATCCCCCAATCTAGGAAAGTTCCTGAACCCTGCCCTTCCCCACCTGAGCTCTGCTACAGACACTTCTGGGCACCATCCACCTGGGATGTACAGGCCTGTCTCTTTGGGGCCCTCAGAGCCCACCCACCGTGCTGTCATCGACCCTCACCTGTTCCTCCAGCTGCTGCCTCTGCTTCTTCACCTTACTCTGCTTGTAGTAGTCCATGATCATCATTGCTGCATAGATTTTGCCCACAGTCAGGTCAGAGGCTAAAATCACAAATGTGGCATAGAAGAGAGAGAGTGAGGCGGCCTCACAGCTTCCTTCCCACTCTCTGAAGCAAGATCCCCCCCTCGGCCACTCATCCACCTGAAGGCTCCCTCTGTGCCAGGCACAAAGTAAATGGGTCTCCTACTCCCACTGCCCCCCAGTGCTGGTGCTAATGTAAAGTGGTACACTTGTAAGCATCATCTCCCAATGGCCTAGATTTCTACCTGTACATAACAGCACCCTTTTCCTAACTGTCTGAGGGCTTGCTGAGCAGTATCAGATGGAAGGAAGAGAGCTAAACTTCTTAGGTAAGAAGTTTACCTGCTAGCACAGTGACTAATCTTCAGAAAATGTCTTTCCATTACCAGTATCAAAAGGACTGATCTTGAGAAAATGTTTTTCCATTACCAGTATCAAAAAGGACTTAATGAAGGATTTAAGTTTCTTGAGGACAAAAGAACAATCTCCCCTTATCTCCTTAATCACTGTGTCCTCCCCACCCCAAAGATGCAGCCTTGGGGCATGCGACCTTCAGTGACAAGGATACACAGGAAGAGACCCCACACCTTTGGGCATGGGCACCAGCAGATCTAGCATCTTCTGGGACAGGTGAGGCCAGATGGCCAGGGTCTCCTTTTGGAGCTCTGAGTCTAGCTGCTGCCTGTCCGCACCACCTAAAATAAGAATAGTTTTTAATACACACACAGAACAGACGTAGAAATACCAAGCACTGAGGAGCAGGTCGGGGCAGGAGCTGAGTCGGCAGGGCACCTCATTCTCAGAGGAAATCTTGGCACTTGGTGACGGTGGATCTTGCCATGCCAGGCCTTTCTGCTGAAGCAGCAGAATGCACCTGGCTCCATTTTCGGTGACTCAGCCAAGGCCTCCTGAGACCTGACATCAGCTTTCCCACCAGCTCCCGAAGCCTAGCAGGTGCTTAACATATTAGAGGGGAAAACGAGAGCGGGCAGCAAGCCTCCCTGTCTCACTGTATGAACATCAGTTCTTCTAGAGACTCTGACTCCGTGGTCTGAGTGACCTAATTTTTGAAAGGATTTGGGTCAGGCATGAGCAGGAAGGCTGGAGGTCCATATAGAAGTAGTAAACCTTTTCTCTGTTAAAGCACTGACTTAGAAAGCAAGAGGAGCAAAATACTACCATACCAGGGTTCGCCTCAGAAGCCTCCCAAGACGATGACACAGGAAGAAAACGATGAAATTAAAACTCGTGTGTTCAGGAAACAAATTATTTCCACAGCGCCTGCTAGGTGCCAGGTCCTGACTGTTTAAAGGTGGAAGGAGCTTTAGTGATGGTCAACCCATCCATTTTGTCAGGTAGAATCTCAAAGAAGAAAGCAGGATCCTAGTATTTGATCTCTGGGTCACAGCATTGCTGGACGCTTCACAGCTCATCCATCTCCTCCTGCACCGCCCTGTTTGGATTGCTCCAGAATCTCCCTTCCCTCCCAAGCTTACCTTTGGCAATTTTGATGTCCAGGGCTGTCCGAATCAGAGCCATCAGCGTAGAGGTGAAGTGGACAGTCATGTCCTCAGCTACAGGCATGTTCATCAAGACCAACCTCTGTGTGAAATAGAGAAAAGCAGCAGCGGGAGAAAAAAATATCGAAAGAAACCTTGGTGAGAAGGGAAGAAAAGTGCAGAGGTCAAATGCAGAGACAAAAAAGAAGGGCAAGGATTCCCCACCCCCCTCTCCCAATCCTACTCTTCCCACATCTCACTGAAGGCTCATTTGTTGCTGTTTGGTTCTGTTTGGTTTTTTCCTAAGGGGTGATGCCAAATTGCAAGGGAAGGGGGGGCAATCATTCTGCAGGACTCCGCCATGGTCCTCAGAATGTCTGTAATAGCAAAGGGAAGTGACTTCTAAAAGCAGCGGCTCCGGGGAAGGAGGCAGCTCTGGGAGGTGGCCCCTTCCCTGTTTCAAGGCTGCTTGCTATTAGCACTCGTCCCGCAAACACCCCCAACTCACATGGAAAGACAGTGGGGGCAGAGATTTTTCTCTGCTTTTCTGACTTTAAAGATGCATCCTGATGCCCCCTTTTTGAGTCTTTAAAGATGGAATTTGCCAGCACGTGACTGAACATGCATTAAGTCCAACTTATCCAAAAGGATGAGGTGGAACAGGATGGAAAAGGGGGAGAGTGCAGACAGGGTCTCGGGGAGGAGGGCTGGGGACAGCAGAGAAGAGAGAGGGGTGAGCAAGGCAGGAGCAGAGTGGGCAGGCCCCGTTTCCCCACCCAAAGGAAGGGATCGAACTGAAATGGCCAAATCCACTTTCCAGAGAGTATCTTGCTTTTGGAATCCATGTACTTTTTCCTCTTTACCCCACACCCCTTCAAGCTTCCTCCTAGAAATTCAAAGAACTCAGGGCCACATTCTACCACCTGGCTCTTGGATGTGGCCATCATGAGCAAAAAGGATGCCAGCCCCTGAGCTGTGCATGAGCCGTGTACGGGGGTGAATCAAGGTTCCTGATGGCTCCGTTCCAATGAGATGCTCCCTGTGGCTACACAACTTGGTGGCAGCAGGAGTTGGTCCTCTGGCAGAACCACTGGTCTGGCCAGGAGGGACATGTGTCTTCCCAGGCAGGGTCTCAAATATGCCACTGGGAGAGCTCGCCTGTCGTGAATCTCCAGATCATCTTAGAGTGTAAAGTCAGTTTCTCGTTTGTATCTGAGTTCCAGCTCTCTCCTAGTCCTCTGAGCTGTGCTGTATTCCTAGGTGAATGAAGAGCTCCTAAGTTCTCAATAAGTCTAAACACCAATGGGGCACTAAGCAGAGGCACTGATCTGTGGAGACAAATGCAGGCCCCAAAGCTGTGAGCACCCTAACGGTAACTGACCCTCAATGGGCAATATTGCTCTGAGCAAGCCATGGGGACTCCACTGATAACTCGGCCACGCCGGCCATGCCAGTAAGACAACTCAAGTGCTGTCTGCAACTTCCGCCCATTGTCACCCTTTGCCCCGAATCTGCAAGAGAAATAGGATGCTGGGATAATGGGGCAGGAAGCGGCACCACTCATCAGCATCATGGCATTGAAGTCATGTTCCTCTTTTATCCGATACCCAGAAGGAACTATGCTGTAGTCTTGTCCTACACCATAGAGGAAACTCATTTTTTAAGAGTTTCCCTCCTAAAAATTTCTCCTGGAGTTTTGTTTAGAGGAAATTCTGTATGATCTCTTTTGCTTGTCTGGTTGAAAATTGATAGATGTGTGTTTGTATGTGTGTGTGTATGTGTATGTATATGTGTGTGTGTATACACACACACATATATACATATATACATACACATATATATATATATATATATATATACATATACATACACACACACATATACACGCACGTTCTGGTAGCTGTTTTTCTGTAGGCTTCCTTCTTGCCCATAGATACTATTCCACAGGCCACACTCTCCCTCCTCCAAAGGAAATGCACTAAACATTCCCTTGCTAGTGACCCACTCATGAGAAGCCAAACACTTGCAGAAACACGGGATAACACGTGAAAAAACCCACATGGAAGAGCAGAGCAAACCATCCCTGTATCATTTCCTGGCTTACTTCTTCCTGCCGCCTCCGTCTCATCAGCTCTCATTGCTTCCCTCCTCCTCCGCCTCCCCAGCCCGGCTTCCTCCCCATGTTCTGGCCTCCCCACAGCTGGACCCCAGTTTCCTGTTGGTCTGTAGCCCGGAACAAAGGAAGGGGTGGTCTACCTTATATGCCACTTTGGAGGGACATCTCTTGCCGAGGCCTAGCGGTGGTGACATGAGAGTCAGCATTTCATACATCTCAGTGTAATGGATGCGGCCACTGCTCATGGAGGGAGGGGACATTGGGATGGGGGCAGGGCGGCGGGGTGGGGGGTGGCAGGGCAGTTGGGAGAAGGATGCAGACAGGTAGGAGGAGATCAGGCATTCCCAGAAAGCCAAAAACAAACAAACAAAATAATACAGAAAAACAAAATGGACAAACAGGAAAAGAATAGGAAACCTGTTAATCAAAGCAAATCATACACGTGACTCCATCCTGATGCAGATTTATATCACGCCCCACACAGACCCGGGAACACGGTGGCAGCCTTGGCTCCCTCTGTCTGCACTGTGTTGGGGGACTGGTTTTCTCCTCCTCCAGGATTAGCATTCCTGCTTCCCTGTTCACGCCATCGGTCCCCCCATACAACACGAGGAGCTTGTTTACAATTCCCAGGGCTGTGTGTGAGCGGTATAAACCGGATAGACGGTGCCTCAGCCATGGGTTCAAACTTCTGGCCCCAGCTAGAAGGGGTGCTGGCCTGGAAGTCAGGCCTTTGTCCGCTGAACCCACAGGCGGAGCGTCGTGTATCCCCCTGTGGTGTGTGTGCAGCAGGAGGCTTTCACTTGCACTGAAAGTGGGGGGCTGTGGCTGCTGGTGAGTCGGCCCGTTGCTTCCACCTGGCTCTGTGGAGAGAGAGCTCTTTATGCCCCGGCATGCCCCAGGATCTTGGCATGCTGGGGACAGAAGAAACAAAACCAGGAGGAGGAAGAGCCTCTTGCATGCCATGCTGCCCTCCCTGGCTCTCCCCACATGCGGCTGCAGGTTCACCGGGTGGAGTTTAAAGAGTCTGAGCAGAGGCAGCTGTTAGGCCTCCCGAGTACAGAGTCACTGTGTCACCATCCCAAGTCAGTTCCTTCCCATGACCCAGGCTGGCATCTTCCTGGGCCTAAGTCTTCTTCAGCTGCTGGCCTGTGCCAGGCCCCAGAGGCCCCTGCTTCCCTCCTACAGCACCAGGAGAGGGGCCTTATCTAGCAGGCCTGGGATAAGGCTTGGCAGATCCACTGGGATTTAGAATTCCCAGGTCTGGCAGACTTAGAGAGGGAGGTCTTATATGCCCCTGAACCAGGTCCTTGGTCTCTCAAACAAGCAGTTCTTTGGAAATTACCATAGCTCCCTCAGCAATAAACGGTAGGACCCTCAGGCAAGAAGTCTGCTAGGGAGTCCCCGACATCTAGAGGCCTTCCTAGACCTCTGAGCTATTGAATTCTTCCAGACACCACATCAGTCCTCTGACCTGCTCGCTCCTCTCACCTCAAAGCTTTATTGTTTCTCACCTCCTGTCTGTCCTAGACATCATCACTTCTGGCCAAACTCTCCAGGAGCTGGAGGGTAGCAGAGATGGGGAGGACCAGAGTCACATTGTGCTAGGGTCTAGATGGGATGAGAAGGATATTTTGCCAGAGGAAGGCGTCTGTCTCCAGCAAAGGGAAACCAGGACTCTTTGCTAGATTGAAGGGATGTCTGCATTCTCTGGAAGAGGGAAAGTTCCCTCTGATTAAATCTACAGACTCTAAGATGGAATAGAGGGGAGAGTGTGTACACAAGTGAAGGAAAATAGAGAGGTGGGGTTGGCCTTCATTACTAAGTCCTTAGTCCTTAACTCTCATTTTCTGCCTTCCCCACCCCCTCCCGCGCCCTTCTTCCTTGGGGAACAGCTGCTGGTTCTGGGAGGATCTGGACCTCTTTAAACTCAAAGGAAGCAACATGAAGGTCCCCTCATGTGGCGTGGTGAGTGGTGGTGGCGCGGAGAGGAGGGGTTCAGAGTTGCATCCCACTGCCGGCGCGGCTGGGGACTGGGAGGCAAACCTTGCAAGCCACCCTGTAGGGGCAGTTCTCTCCCAGGCCCAGAGGCGGCGAGATCACCCGCACTAATTTGTACATATCCTTATACGGGATCCTGCCGCTGTAAAAGAAGCACAGGTGGGTTAATAGGACACTCAGAGGAGGGTGGGAGAGAAATGACAACTTAGCGATGAAGGAGACAGTGGAAGAGGAAGAGCAGCTTCCTTCCTTGGGCCTGGCAATGCCAGGTCAGGAGAGACTAACAGTAGGCATCAGAGAACCATCGCCCTGCCAAACTACACTGCCCTTATTGCCAAAGGAAATCAGAGCCCATCCAGTGCCCTAAGGGACGGCCTACTGAACAGGGACACCCCAAGATACCTATCTGGCTCAAGTTAGATCCCTGGAACAAAGCCTGCTAATTCACAAATGCCTCTGTTGGCGGCTGGGAGGTGGAAGCAGAGCTGCTCACTTCCACAGATACTGAACACACACTCAGACCTGCTGTCAAGGGCAGTGGGGAGGCAGTGTCTTTCTGCAGACTGCAAGAGACAAATTTCCCATTAGGCTAATGAACAAGGAGCACAGTTGGTAGGAGGGAACACAGCAAAAGATTTGTTTCTCTTTGTGGCAGATTTTTCCTAGAGGTTAGCTTGAGCAAAAATCTTCTCTGCTTACAGGTACCTGCTGGGACCCATACAGCCAGGGTGGGAGCCATGGAGGTGAGCTCCCCCCATCCCAGCCCATCCCATCCCACCCCACCCCAGCTGCATTCCTGCTGCTCAGCCCACAGGCAGCTTGGTTGGATCTAGTCAGAACTGCAGGAACCATGTGACATTCCCATGAACCCACTAGACTTCTGATCACCTGTGTAAAGGGAACAGAATCAATAACTGATTCATTTTTCAGGGGCTTGAATATAGAAGCAGTGGCCAGGGACCAGAAGGTCTGGACACATCTCTGGACCAGAGTTTCCACTGGGAATTATAAACCTGCTTCTGAGCATCCAGTCCTTTTCAGCTGCCATAGGCTTCCTTTGTCCCAGTTCACTCTTTATAGCCTTTTTTTGATTTTGATGTCGATTTGGTGTCAGTTCCTCCTTTTCTTCCAAATAACAGGTCATCCGTACTTCCAAGCCTCTTGACTTGGAAGGAGGCTAACTTAACAATTTGTTTCTTCTTTAGACTGGGATGTGGTACTCTCTATAGCAGGTTCTTGGCAACCTGGACTAGTCATCTTGTTGAAGATAAAACTTTACTTTGCCTTGGTTAGTTTTTCCCCTCCTGCTCTCAGAGAGAAGGCCCATGAAACTAACCAGAGGGAGTTACAGGGATTTCAGTGCAGACAAGGAGCTTCTCCTTTGTCTTTTCACTCTTTCATAATTCATGTGTCTGAATCTCATGATTAGTCTTCATGAAATCATTTCTTCCCAGCAGCAGGAAGGAGTGGGGAGGCACATGTTTAATGCACATAGCATATGGTTCCCCAAATAATGTGAAACCACAGGAAGCTGGAGTTTCCAAGAGCCAAGGACACCTGTGTGACACTAGGCGAGCAGTGCTCTGATCTGTTGGCAGTTGGCTTCTCCTCTTTCAGCTGACTGAAGAGATCCCGCCATAGGCTCCCAACCCCTTGATACAGATGCTGATTTTACACACTTCTAGTTGCAGTCCCATATGGTCATTGTCAGTTACAACATGGGTATATAATTTAATAAGTCCTCACAATCACTTTGCAATGTGAGTGGGTATAAAACCCCTCTTTTGCAGGTGGAGAAAGCTTAGAGTGGCTAAGCGACTTGCCAAAGCCATGGAGCTGAGAAGGTGCGGGCCTGGAGTGGCCGCGTGGAACACACTGCTTTCTGGGCAGGCTGTCTGCTAGAGGGTAAGCCCAGGGAGTAAAGCCATGGCTCAGTCATTATAACAGGAACAGATTTTGAGAATGCTGGGCCCTAAGTCATTAATGGCTACCGAGGGGAAGAGGAATTCAGATTCACTCTTCCAACTTCTAAAATTGTGACCCAAGTTCAACAGTATCCCAGGGGGACAGATTTTGGGAAGAGTCTCAGATTATGAAGGGTTTCCAGGTGGAAGCAACGTGGTCCATTCCTGTGAAGGATGGCATTTCTTGTAGTATTTTCAGAGGGGGGCAAGAATGGAAGTTGGTGAGGTAAGACCTAAAGCTACAATGGCCTGGACAGGGTGGTTCCTATGGCATACACATGCACAGAACTCTCACCCTATCCTCAACCACGAGAGCCCAAAGTGTTGCCTTTGTATTAGAAAGCAGGGACCAGCTTTTTCTATAAAGGCTCAAACCTAAGGAACTTACTGTCTTTGCCTTGTAGTGTGAAAACAGCTGCAGATAATACATGAATGAGTGAGTGTGGCTGTGTTCCAATAAAACTCTTTGCAAAATTAGGCAGTGGGCCAGATTTAACCCATGGGTTACAGTTTGCCAACTCTTACTCTCAAGCCCAGAGGGCACAACGTTACTGGAGAACTAGTGGACAGAGAGAGAGAGACCTGGGCAGGTTATCCCTGCAAATCCCTGGCATTTAACTAAGTTCCATGTAAGAAAAGCCCACTGCTGTTTAAGGGATCAAGTGGGAAGAACAACTTGCTTGATTTTTTTACGTAATGTTAGAGTCAATATCACACTGTACCTTTTGAGAGGAAGGAGAGAGATGAAACACTAGTGCCCTGCCCATGATGGCCAGCTGACCCACAGACCCACGTCAACCCCCTTGGTGAATCAGAGTCTACTAACCACTGAAGGGAAAAGAAAGATGATGGGAGGGAACTCTGGGAATTGAACCCAGACACCCTGAGTGAAAACTGTGGGATGAGATTGGCAAAGAAAGGGAAAAGCCTGTCACAGAAGGAGAGAGGAGAGGAAGATAGAGATGCCAGAGCCAACCTGAGCACCTGGCTTCACCCATGAGCCACACCATGAGGAATCCCCTCTCCTTCTGTGACAGGCAAACAATTCCAACCTCTCCCTTGAGAGCTCCAGGGGCCCTTAATATGGGTCCTAGAGGGATGGCAGAGAGGCCTACACACCACGCAGCTCTGTCATATTCTGCCCAGACACGGACGAACTCATCCAGGTGATGAGGCCCCAGGATGGACGAGTCCCGAGTCAGGTACTCAAAGTTGTCCATGATGACAGCCACAAACAGGTTGAGCATCTGCAGGACAAAGGGGGAAAAGGATTTAGGGGAGATTGAAGGCACAAAAATAGGCTTCTCAAGGCAAAGAAAGAATCCAAAAGTCTGTAAGGCTGACGCTCTGAACTAAGGCACTGTTGATCATACTTGAACATGATGCACTTTCATTATTTGTACCACCCATTTTATTCTGTGGGCATTATGATTTCATTTTTCTATGCCAAAGTACTCCACAGTCGCTCTTATTATCTATTCAATTTATTTGTTAGTGCCGCAGCAGGGGCATTATTCATGAAGACCAGAAAAAAATCAAGGCCTGACACCAAGTCTCCCTTCCCAGCCCTCTCCCATCCTCATTCACAAAACAAACCAGCAAGAAAACCGGCCAGATGTCTTTGATCTGAGTGCGGGGACACAGAGTATGAGAACCAGACCCTGTCTGTGGCTCTTGTGTGGCTTCCAAAACATGGTCCTCCTGCTTATTCAACAGCATTTCCATGCACCCACCATGTTCCAGGTACTGGGGCTGAGACAAAGAGCTCTTTCCGGAAACAAATCCCCCTAGCACAATGCTTAAAGCACAGCAGTCCACCATCAGATATGGCTTCTTGAATATTCCTAAAGACTTATTTAATAGAATAGAAATTGACTTATAGGAAAGCATGCAAATGCCATTCTTTCTTTCTTCTTTTTTTTTAAGAGCCATGAAAGCAGCATATACAGGTTACAGTGGGGACAGCAAGAATGAAGGCAGTTACTCCTGACCGAAGGTAAAAGTGTCTAAGAGCACTGATGTTTTGAAGTGGATCCTCACAGACCAAAAACTGTTTATCAGACAGAGCTGGGCACAGAAGATGGTGGTTTATGGAGAAGAGCCAGCAGGAAGAGCACAGAGATATGCAGGGCCAGGAACACTCAGGCAGCCACAAGGAGATGGTAGGAAACTCTAATAAGAGAGTCTAGAGCTGGGTCGGTGAACTGGTCAGAGAGCAGATATTGTAGACTTTGCCAGTCATACAATCTCTGTTGCAACTATTCAGTTCCACTGGTGTAGTATGAAACCAGCCAGACAATATGTATCAGAATGCATGGCTGTGTTCCAATAAAGCTTTATTTATGGACACTGAGATTTGAATTTCATGTAATTTTCATGTCATGAGGTGTTACTCATCTTTTGATTTTTTTGTAATCATTTGAGAATGTCAAAACCACTGCAAGCTTGTGGGCTAAGAGTAGGTAATAACTGGCCAGTGGGGACAAGGCTAAGGAATGACAGGAGGATGGCCACAGAACTGAGTGTCCACAGTGAACAGCACCATTCTGCTATTTCTTGGCTTCCCAGTACCCATTTGTTGTACTTTTGGGGGCCCATCCCATGTTTAGTCCCAGTTAATAGTGTTCTGTGAGGTATCACCTATGACCCAGGCCTTACCAGGTACTGAACCCCTCTCCCTGAGCCACAGTGATTGATGAGCCTGACATTTTTGAGCAGACTTCTCGTAAGGACTGAGGTCTAGAGATGCTGCCCCAGCTCTCTTGGAGCCACAGGATGGGGGTGTTTGGGAAAAGAGCTCACAGGAAAGAAGATGGCGGAAGTGCTCCATAATTAGAGAAAGAGACCTGGTCCTGTCATCTGAGTACCAGAACAAGCTTTGCTTAAGCCTAACCTGCCCCAGACTCTTCATTCATATGAGCCTATGAAATACCTTTTTGTTAAGGCAAGATTTAGCAGGGCAGACTTTCTGTCATTTGCAAGTGAAGGTATTCTGCCTGATAGAGACGACTGACTGGGGATGAGGGAGGAGGAGCTCGGTCGCTAATTCCCAGGTCAAGTGGCTGACTGGACAGAGGTGTAGAGAGGATACGGAGAAAGTCTGCAGGAAGGAGCTGGTTGGGGCCCGCCCTGAAACAAACTGCTGACTTCATCCTAATAACCAGGTTCCTTCCTCCCTGCTAGAATGCAAGTAGAAAGAAGCTTCAAGGTCTAGTCATCCTCTTCCCATGATGGTGAGGGGATCTCCCTGGAGGTGATGGAGCAGGAGGAGCCACCATTACAAGCCTGAGCTGCCTGCTTTCAGATGTCACAGACACACGAGGGAAATAAACATCCTTTTTGGTTAAATCACTGTTATTTGGGGAGTTCTGTCACCAGCAGATAAACCTAATTGTAACATGGGCCTTTCTTTCTGCAGCTGAGATTGGCACCAAAGTGATTTTACTCAATTACCACCAGGGTTCCAAAGGATTTTTCATGTGTCCACACATTTCTTCTACAGCCCTTCCATGGTATCTCTTATTAGTGTTAACAAACACTATTAGTATTCTTGTTGCTTTACACCTGTATAATATTTCATAGTGTGGTGTGACATTCACACCAATTCTTTTTTTTAATGCTCCTCTGTCCTTGGGAGGCAGGCTTAATTACCATACCATGTGCCCTTCAAGGACACAAGTGCTTCCTATGAGCATCTATATTCATAGTTCCAAGCACCCAGCTGGCTGGCACACCACGGGGCGGGGGGTGTCTCAGTAAATCTTTCTAGAGCCATTGGTTTGAGTTGAGAAGCTGTGTGACTTGCCCAAGGTCACAAAGACAATCCCATGTAGGGCTGAGATTTAAAAGCAGATCATCTCACACTGAATATAGCCTCTTTAAAAATAACATTAATGTGAATTATGCAGCACCTTCCATCTCAAAATTCTGAAAGTACCTTTAGAATCTCTAATTAATTTTCCAGTTATATCTTTAGTTTCTTTTAAATTATTTATTATTAAACACTTAAACCATGCAGGGTAAAATGGAGATGTCTCCATGCTCATCTCATTTCACCCTAATCAGTAAGCCTTTCTGATACCCTATATGCCTTCCCCCCTTCGCTGCAGGTGACAGAGGGGCTGTACCCAGCTGACAGCTAGATAGCAAGGCCTGTCTTGGCATAAGCCTTTGAATAAAATGTGCAGAATGCACTAAAAATGTGCAGAATGCACTGTATGTAACTGAACAAGTTTAAAATGCCAGTTAATATAACCTTAGATTTCCTTTCAGTTATTTCCACTCTACATTATACTTCTATATTTGTAAATAAGATACTGTTCTGTATTCTCTTTTTAACCGAAAAAAAACACAAAAAACACTTCAGGCCTATGAGATGGAGGTACATGAAAACACACGTATCAGCTCACGGTGCAAAGATGCTCATTATCAAGTCATTTCTCTTCTCATTTTACAGAAACCACAAAAGGGAAATGTTCTAGACAAGACAGAAGAGCAACAAAGCCAAAGCCACAGTGCGGGCTACCGAGTCTTCCATGAGTTCACCCCCCACCCTGCTACATTAACCTGCCCCCGACACTTAACAGTCTAACTGAGGGCCCCCTCCCCGCACCGGAGAGCTGCACATGTGGCAGGTGCCCTGGGAACACTTTCAAGAGGCAGAAATGCGAGGATGGAGACAATTGTTTCACCTCTGGAAGCACAGCCATGACAATGGCCACATTTTGGTGGCGTTGCTTTAGCATTCCATTTTTATATAGTCGGTGACTTTAGCCATGAAGCATCACCAGAAAGACCAGACTGAGCTTTGACTGACCTGGAAGCTGCTGGCACATTATTGTTTTTCACGACTTGTCTGATAGCACAGGATACAGATTTCTGGATGGTGTGTGCTGATTCTCCCAAAGACAGAATGAAGAAGACACCTAGGGTGTCTCACCATTTTACAAGTGGGTGTGTGCCACATATATTACTCAATATTTACTAATGCCCGAAGCAATCACATCCCGTCATGGCTATCAAGCCGGCCAGTTGTCATCAAACATGGTAGCATCTCAAGTCAAGAAAGGAGCAGCTCCGCTGCATCGCATATGCACCACCCTCCTAGTCAAGCCTCTGTGGTCAAGGTGCCATCCGCCAAGTGGTTTAAAGGCCTCCAGAAGAGAGAAGATAGCCCTACTTTGAAGATAAGATGCATGAGGTGTGGAAAGAAAGGATCAGTCTGGGGCAGAACAGATCCAACAGGAAGCTCAGTGCTCTGTTCACAGACTTCTCCATTCATTCATCCCTTCACACAACCACCCTTCCTGGGAAGCGGCAGAGGTGGTCTCAGCCCACTGTGAAGAGTCACCCACTCTGGACAAGCATGCCGGCCCTCGGGAGTGCTCCAGGAGGATCAATTTTTTTTTTTTTTTTTTTTTTAACGAGAGCAAGAGCAAAAAGGCAGAGGGGGAGAGGAGAGAGAAGGGAGATAAAGCAGAGGGAGTGATACATCTCGTCTCTATCCGCGGCTCAGGGTGGCTGGGCCACATCCCGAGCCAAACACGCAGCGCAGCTCACCAGGAAGGAGCAGAAGAAGATGAAAGAGACAAAGTAAACGTAGGCCAGGTCGGTGCCACAGCGCTCGTTCTCGTTCTGCCCAGACGGCGCCGTGGTGTCCGGCTCGCAGCCCTTCTCTCCGAGGCACGACAGCATGATCTCCTGCCAGGCCTCGCCTGTGGCGCTCCTGAGCCCAAAACACACATCGTTAGCAACAGTGGGTCTGCGTGGCCTGGCCTGTCTATCACCCGTTTTCTCAATTCTCACATCCCTCGCCGTGCCTGCAGCCCGGCAGGTCTCCTCCTTCATGCTTTCCACCCAGGGATGGAGACACCAGTGAGATCTGTCTTGGGGTCTGCTAGCTCAGCTGATTCACTGCTGGTAGATGTGGACAGCAGCAGGACCCCTCTAAAACCCCACGTAAATCTGACTAAGGTTTCATCCGTTAAATAGAAGCTGCTCATGAGGAACTGCCCTTGCCTCCTCCCCACCCCCAGCCCTGGACCAGGAGCTAAAGCTGTGACTTGCAAATTAACTCCTGAGTCTAAGATACTGAGGAACTTTTTAACAGCATCAGGGCATCACCCTCCACCCAACCTCCACTGTCTCCCCTGACAGGAGCAGAATGAGCAGGATGAGAGACACAGGGGACCGGAAGGAAAAGGCAGACCAACTCTGTCTCCCCGGGTAGGAGAGTTCCGGCCACGACGGTGGGGCCTCCGGGTACCTGAAAAGAAGCATGAGGGACCCAAAGAAGCTCCGGAAGTTGTTGTGCCGGTTGATGTGACTCTCCTCGTCTAATTTTATGTTTCCAAACACCTTAAGGAGAGAGCAAGAGAAAACCATGAGTGTCACTGAGCAGTGTGACGTGTCCTGCACAGGGATGTTAGGAGCGCTGGCAGGGCTGGTGAGCCCAGGTACATGGCTCTGCTTGGTGGCCCAGTCCTGGAGCAAACAGCTCAGGCTCAAAGGCTGTGGCCCCAGGCTCTTGGCCTGCCAGGCAGGAGTCACTGCATATTCCCTGGTCCCGAGCTGCAAAAACGATGGGTGTGAGCAAGGACCATAGAAGGCAAGATCTTCTAAAGTCATTCTGCTTGTATGTGTTTCCTCCCACACCTAATCAGGTCTTTTTATTTCCATCGTACCTGTCACCATGGTACTCGAACAGTTTGTCAAGGACATTATCCCACAATAGGAGTGCAGGGAAGCCTTGACCCTTCTCTTCTATCTCAGGCAGTAGTGATGGGAACATCTGTATTTGTGGCTGTGATTGACAGCTAGGGCAGATGCTGCTCTGGACCCTGGGAGTCAATCAGGTCCGAAAGAGGCATCTCTATGTTGCTTGGCTGTTCTTATCCCAAGAGTCAAATCTCACCATGTCAGTGCATCTATAATTTGGAGCCACAAAAGGAGGCTCTGGTTAATAGGATGAAGAAAGGCAGGACAACCTGATACTTGGAAAAGGAAGAAGACAGATTTGGGCAGATCTGGCTATAGAGCGAGGTTTACTTATCTACTATTAGTCACTGGGCTCAGAATGTGGTAACAGTGCAAATTCACATGAAAAAAAGAGAAAATTCAGGATCTTTATCTGTAACGGTGAAAAATGATGGCCTCTCCAACAGTCAGCCTCAGTGCCCTTAGATGAGAAGGGGGTGCTTGCACATGCCGCTCCTCCCCCAGCCATGCTGGGGACACCAGGATCTCTTCTTAAGTCAATGTTTGTACAACTGAAAGCTCACAGGTCACTTTCCAACCACTGTAGACAATTGTTTGTCTATATTTAACATCACTTTATCTAATATATGCTAAATGGAACACATTTTCCCCTCTAACAGTTTTTAGAATGTGCAATTGAGGAACAATCTCTGCCCCCAGCTATTTTGCTCAAATAACTCCCACTGACACCTGCTTTGGGAATTTGTTCTCAACGCTGTTTTTTAAAACCCAAATACTACTTGTCTCTCAGGGAGAATGGAGGTGGCAAACAAGGCAGCAGGGAAGAAGGAAGAAGGGAAAGAGGAAGGTAAGAAGGCGGAGGACCCTCAAAACAGACATATAGTAGCACTAAGAAAAATCCCACCTGAAAAAAGCAAATCTAGATCCAGACACTCCAGGGGCAAAGCTTTCTCTTCCTTTCACTGTCTTGGTTCAAAGTCCATGATTTATCCCTGATTCATTGCATAAACACAATCTACAGTGTTGATCCTCCCTGTGGCACTCCTGAAGCCACCATGGCTTGTCCTCATTAAGGTTTCCTCAAACACTCATCCCATTATCCACTGGTGGGAGGGCATGCTATGATGGTGCAGGGGGTATCTGCGTAATAGTTAAAGGAACCAAAGCTATTCTGAATCTACCTTATGATAATTTTTAAGTTCAAAATTTAAATTTATTGTGACATTGATCTTTGAAAGATTTTCACTTTTTAAAAAAAAAGCTTTCACATAGTCCTTATCACTAATCCAAATCTCCACCATCAGAAGGATATGGGAAAGAAAGAAAGTATATCAAGACCCACCAGAAAAGTATAGGCTCAATTCTTGTTGAATTCACAGAATTTAGAACTGGAAGGCACCTGTGAAGCTACCTTCCCAGCTTTCTTGTCCTGGTCAGGGTGGTAAGGCCCAGAGAGGCTCAGTGACTGATCAAGTTTGCACAGCTGGTAAGTGGCAGAGTTGGGGATGAAGGCCTCACCTGCTGTGAGCCTGTAGCCCCAGGTTTCTTTCCCAAACCCAGCCGGTACTCCTTCCTTCTTCAGATTCCTTTACAAAGTTCTGAGCTTCTGAAAGCTGAGAATAGTGGTTGATCTCAAAGACACAGTCTGTTGCTATTTATATCTTTCCAGTGCTGGTCTCCTGCCCTTTTCTCTCCCTGAGTGTATGGATCCCTCTGCTTTGTTGTCACCACACTAGACACTATCTTTGTAGTAACAAGCGCAGGTGTCTGCTTTGTGCACAGTGCAGGGTCCTCTCAGGAGCCAGGATGAGAGAGGCCAGCTAAGGGCAAATCACAGAGGGAATGCCACCTCAGTTGCTCTGGATTGGGAGCAGTGCACTTATTTTTTGGAAAGAATTCTAAGGGCAATTCAGTGTTAACCATGATGATGATCAGAAAGATCACAATTTCATAAATGAACAGCTCCCACTTCCCACTAAAGAGGGCCAAAGAAATACTTGTGTTTGCTCGTTGGTGTGAGGAATGACAGGCCAGAATTAAGAACATGGGTTGTAGAGTCATCAGAGCTGAGTTTAAATCTCAGCTCTCCCATTTACTATCTGAGATTTTGGGCAGATTTAAACTATTTAATGATGCTAAATATCAGTGCAGACAATGAACCCACATATAAACATTTTCACATCACCCCTGAATTCATTAGTCGTATATTTTGTATATGTGTATGCACACTTGCAAGGAGGGAGGAGGGGGGCAGGGGAGAGAAGAGAGCAGAGTGGGGAGCAGGGTGGTGGCAGGCATGCAGGAATTTCAGTAATGGTAAATAGCATTGTCCTCATTATCGACAGTGTTACTAACAGGTTAGTTTTGGAGATGGTGTTATTCTAGTTTATTTTGCTTGAAGAAGAGAGTGAGAACTACTTTAAACACAGTCAAAATAAAAAAGCTAAGTTGATTAGGTTTTCATGTAGCTACTCAAAAACATTTAATTCTATAATCAAATATGTGGAAGTTAGAAGGGACTTTGCAGAAATGGGGAGAATGGGGCGAACAAGCCCATCTTAAACTTCGGCAGGGAGCCTGCTTATGACACATCCTGTATGGCCTGAGTGTGTCTGTGCTAAATGCTTCTGCCCTCCTCCCTTTTTCTTTCTCTTTTTCCCTCTCATCATCTCTCTACTGAAATATCCTCAGTGAAGGGGAACTCATTACTTCTCAACCTAGACCCACACTTTTTGACACTTGACATTCTATTGTATTTTGGGAGAACAGTCGTGAGGTTAGAAGATGAATAAAGTTAAGCGCAGGCAAGGGAGAGGAGCAAAGGCAGGAGACATTTCAGTGTGGCTCTGGGAGGGTGGCTGCTGCAGCAGGCCTGGGAGCAGTGTGTGGGGGTCCAGATGGCCCTCACTGTTGAGTGACAGCCGGCAGCAATAGGACAGTCAGCCTGCCTGACTGCAGGGGATGGCCACTTGGCTGACGATCTGCACTGAAGTTCCGTATCAATGTCTCCAAGTCAGAAAGTTAATTTCCCCAAGACAAGCAGAACGCCTCGGCACCTGTGTACATAGTTTCTAGGGATGCCTAGCTGGCTGTTTAAAGTAGGAATCCACCCCCACAAATGAAAGTTGCCTCTCTGCTCAGTGGATCTCTGGTTACCTGCATGTGTGTCCAGGGTGGGAACCTGATCCAGTTCTCGGTTCAAAACCAAAAAACGATGTGGTAATCCAACAGCATGGGCTGGCAGGCTGCTGGAGAGGAATTAGCTAGAACACAGGTCTCCCTAAGAATGGGCAAGTGGCCAGGAACTCAGTGGTTCACAGCAGAGGATACAAATCACAACTACTAAAGACATAACTCAGACACATTTTGGAGTCACTGCATCCAGGACTTTCTTTTAGGCTCTGTCCAAGTGTGGGAGGTACTGAGAAATGGATCACCAGGAGCCTCACCTCCATTCTCATTCTCATGGGGAGGAAACAAAGGTGTCATCTTTGCTTTAGCCCTGTTGTGCCATAGAAGCCCAGCTGCTTGAAAGTGGGCCTGTCACATGGAAACCTAGGATGAAGCCCATGCAGCAGACCACTCTGATTACCTGGGCAACCCCCCGGTCATGGTGCAACAAGACCTTGGAAGTGTGCTCAAAGCACCCTTAACCATGAATGTTCAGGCTGGTAAGCCGGGGACAAGCTGAACAAGAGTGCCCTACCCGGCCCAGCCCCAGCTCACCTGCATCCCAATGATGGCATAGATGAAGAAGAGCATGGCAATCAGGAGGCAGACATAGGGAAGGGCCTGGAAGGAAAGCAGAGACATGGCCATGAAGTCTAACATCAGTGGGCTTATCAATCTGGCCACCCAGGAACTGCTGTCTGAAAGTTGCCTCACACAGAGGACTAGTACTCTTTAATTCCCTGGTGCTCTTCTGTTTTGGAGTGCCATACTTATGCAGATGTTCATATTCTCCAGCAGATGTGAAAGCTGTTGGTCAACCATTCAGAGGTTTGTAATATTTACCTTCTGTCAAGAATAGGCATTCACCCAGAGTATGACCCCAGTCTCTAAGAAAAGCTGGGAGAATTTCCAGGGCCAGGGCTCCATCCCACTTTGCATGCAGAACATTAATAACCTGGGCAATTGTGATACAAATGACATGGCAAGCATCTAGGTTGGCTCCCAGATCCTTGCATTACCCCCTCCCACTCCCCCTCGCTCAATGTGAAGCCCAAAATCTGGCAGCAGTGTGAAACAGCTGGGGTCTCAGTTGTTTTTCAGTTCCTAGAATGCTCTCATCCTCTGAAGAGACACCTTTTCCCAAAGTTGAAGCCTCCATATGCTTCATTAAGTGATATGCAACATTCCAAAGAGCCTGTTACGTGTTAGCCCTCACAAGACTCCACCGTGAAGCCGGTGGCCTGCAACTCCACACCATGCACGCTTATTGCCACATTGGGTTGACAACATTTCAATTATGGGGGAAGGTTCAAGTGAATTAGACACAGAGCAATTTGGATTTGAGGCCAGGGTGGTTACTGTAATCCTGGGGTGATCCCAGTGCTGGCATGGAAGTTTGTCTTGCATCGACTTCCTGTGAAGTCTGTGGAAGAGGGCCCCCTGGGAGACAGTGCAACTGAGTCTTTGTTCCATCTTGAGTGTGTACCACAGGCATCCCAGGAGCCCGCTGCAAGCTTTCAGACTGCCCAAGCAGGGCAAAGTTTATCAACAGAGCTAACTAAATGAAGAGCTGTGGGAAACTTTTACCACATGAATAATGGATAAAATTAAGATGCAAATAAAAGTTGATAGAATCCCCTCTGCAATGAAGTGCTGGTTTCTAAGGTCTATGCTGAGGAAAGGCTGCACATCAAGGGCTGATGTGAAAGCTTCCTCTGCTGAAAGGAGACAGTAAGAAGGCAGGTTTCTTGCCCCCTGGGGAGCTGCTTCCCTCTATCACCTTCTGTGATTTACCTTGGCCCTTATTCTATCTTCTCCTCTCTAGCATTTCTGATTCTGGACCATCTCTCCTACCCCAGCTTTGGAGAGGGGAACAAAGATGCATTCCTCTCTCTTTCTTGTCGTGATATAAACTCTAACACAACACAAGAGAAAAGAGGGAGAAGTGGCTTGGGTAGGGGGCAGTGATGGAGAGCTGGGTGGTGCCAGGGCTGGGTGAGAGACAATCAGGCAGTGACAACGCTGTTCACACTGTGGGGCTCTCAGGTGTATGTTTGTAGAGGCAGCCTTGGTTAAATCATCTTTAAGAAAACAACTTCTGTATCGTGTTCCAGGTCTGCTGCTAAAAGGATACGCCTGTCCATCAGTGTCATCTGGAGGCAAGTTCACCTGTCTTCACTTTTCTCTCTCTAGTCTGGAATAAGTGAACCATTTGGCCATCATTTTTTGACATTCTTTTCTTTGTCCTCAATAGTAGAGAGTTTTTCAGAGAATTGGTGATGATGATAATATGACAGGCTGACACATATTCTCAAGAGATTCACAACTGTAACTTGTTGGGCAGGCCTCTAAAAAAATGTGGGGAGGTGAGTTTCAGAGCATTTTGTGTTTCCAATTTTAAATCCAAATTCATCTGAGACTCAGATGGTAAATTCTCGCTCAGGTTTTAGAATTCTCCTCTGTCACTAGGCTGTGGAAAAATAGTTTACAATGAGATGAGGCCTCTTTAGGAGTTATCATCCCAAACAATGACTCAGGATACATTAAAAGATGTCAAGAGGTTGCTCTTAGGAGTCTGAAAATCCTTATAGCTGGTTTCACATCTCAATCCCCCAGGTCCTCGATGGAGAACTATTAAATGTTAATGACAGTAATGATGGCATGGGGTGAATCCTTTTCAGAAAGAGAAACTGAATTCACTGGCTTGTTGTCTTTAGTTCAATTTGTAATTAAATATATGTAAGGAATCAAAATAAAGACAATTCAATGTATCCACAATTTCTTGTCTTCGAATAAAATTAATTTTTAAAACATTCACTGATACTTTTTTTTACTAAAAGAACAATAGTAAGCATGTGAACAGCGCTTAGGCCCTCCAAACCTTCTGAAAAATGAGTATGAATATATGCTGGAGTCTGAAATTATTTAAGTATGTTTGGAAAGCTTCTTTTACTAGAAGTCTCTGCCATGAAAGTGGGTCTCAGATGTTTTTTGTATGTTTCACTCATATATCTCACACACACACACACACACACACACACACACACACTCTCTCTCTCTCTCTCTCTCTCTCTCTCTCTTCTGTTCAGCCCCATGAGGCCCTCACTGTATTTACCTTGCCCAGAATCCTATTTGTTTGTAGTACATGGGTGCCATATATTCAGTGCTTCAGCAAACACACAGTGAAGACAACATGGGGGTGGGTAGGGGAGCTAGTGTGAGTCACCTTGCCATAAAACACAGCTTAGGGTGTCCTTTGCAAAGACTGTTATATAAAATAAAGAGACTGTCAAGTCTTTGAGTATGCAGAGGACATGTGACTACAGGAGGCTGGCTGGCTGGACACAGGGGCGGGCTCACTCAGGACGCTTTGGGATGCCTTAGGAGGAAATCACCTCACAAAACAAGCCTCCTGTCTCAGCAGACAGAAGATCACTGAGATGCCAAGTTGCAGTGTTTTTCAAGAATGAGATTTTATCTTATTAGATATAAGCGGACCACTGCCCAGTCCAGTTATGTGTGACCAAGGGGAGCTGTCTTTGAGACTTCTGACACTGGCTCCTGTGTATGTGATGGCACTGTCACCTGATGTGCTGCTTGATAGGACAGCCTCAACCCTCAGTTGGGGAGCCAGAGCTCTTACCTTGAAGGACTGCACAAATGTCCAGAGCAAAATACGGATGGTGTAGCCCTGCCGCAAGAGCTTGATGAGGCGGGCAGCACGAAATAGCTTCAGAAAGCTCATGTTAAAGCCACTGGTATTCACCAGCTGGTGGACCAAAAGGAAACATGTAATTAGTGACATTATGGCCATTTTGCATTTTAGTATTTTGCTTTTTCAGCTAATAAAAATGGACATGGATTCTGTCTTTCATTCTCAACCCCAGCTCCAGCCAATGGGCCAGTGAGGTCCAGCTCTAAGCCTTTCCGGGCCTGCCCTCAATTCCCAGGTAAAAGGTCAGGAAGTCTGGTCTCCCTACTTACTGCACAGGGTCCTCACTCTGCACTGGGAGGCCAAAATTTAATAATCCCTCTAGCACATGATGACCCTGCAATATTCAAGGAGAGTTACAATAAGCTCTCCAAGTCTTCTTGAGGATGAACAATTTTAGGGAAATTATCCAGGTCTATGAATTTGAGAGCAAAGATACTACTCATTCTATTTCCCAAAGAATCTCACAGAACATGGCACATAGTCGGTGCTCTTCTGGAATGTTCTATGCCTTGCACCCCATTATATGCCTGCTATTTGAATCATGCAAATGTAACAAAAACCTTCCATGAAATCCAGTGTCTAATATTAGCATTTTCTGTCTAAAGCTCTAGTGTGAGGAAGTGAACGCCCAACACTTGGAGGACTACACACATGGTTTGAAGAGTTAGAAAAATATATAAAGGATTTTTTTAAAATGCTATTCCAGGGCCAAGCTTAAAGACAAGGATTTAGGAGCCACTTACCTTGCTGTCTGTCAGAATAATTTCTGTGATACTGCCAATGACGGTGATGAAGTCAAATATATTCCAAGTGTCTCTGAAATAGTTCTACCAAGTAAATTCAGACACAGGAGCACCCCAAAAAGGGGGGAGAGAAAAGAAAGAATAAAAATGGAGAAAAGACATCTTTCATTATATAACTTTGCCACTTGGAATTAAAACTTGTCAATTCATGTACAAGTTCATTCTAACTTTGGCTTCATTTTCTTATTTCTAACTAGAAAAGCTCTTCCTCCTTACTAATTTAGGAAGTTCTTGTTTGGGAAGCAGTTCATCATTATTTGGAGACCTTGTTTTTGAAGTTGTCACTAAAAAGCTCCTATGTAAGAAATACACTGATGACCAAGGGACGTAAGTCCAAAAACCAAAGCTCATCAGTCACCCAGAAGACAATATCATTATTTACAATATCACTCTAAGGTTTTATGCCATGAAAATGTTACATTATCTATATCATGTCCCCTATAAATACACAGTTCCAACTTTCAATTATAATAAAAGTCACAGAAATCCCAAGTGACTAGAAATCATGGCTGTGTGAGGAACTGCCTTCAAACGAAGTACATCAAGCCTTTTCAAAACAATGGTTGATTGGCAATAGGTTGAGCAGACATCATCTTTCCTCTTTCTCTGCTGTTATACCTTGTGAGGAGGAGTCACTAGATAAAATACAGGGAAGCAGTAATAAAATGAGTGGGCTTAATAGAAAGTGGGCTATAGTCCCACGTCCAGAGCTCAGGTGAACACAGACCTTGGATCACAGTCCTTCAAAGAAACTGGACACTGGGTCTCCAAATAGTTACCACTTGTTTGGGAGAGCACCGCCCACAAAAGACTCCCAGAGCCAGGAAGAAGTGCTCCCCTGCCCTCTGCACACCAGGCTTTAGTGAATCCTCACTACATGTGCCAGACATGGGACCAGGTTCTGGCATTCTTTCAATTCATCGATTCTTTCCAAGGATCCTCTAGGTAGTGATGCAAACCCTATCTTCATAGCGTACTGAGTGGAAGGGCTAGCAAGTGGGGTAGGGAGAGAAGCTGAACTTCCTGAGCATCTACTCAGAACAAGATGGCCCGGATGCCTGGGCACACTACCTACCTGGCTACACACTGCAGAGCATCTAAGGTAGCTGTCATTCTTCTCATTTTATAATTGAGAAAAGCGAGGCTTAGTGGGGTATTTGCTGGGCATATAGTGAGCCCGACAGTCTCACAAATTCACATCTGTTAAGGATAAACGCCTCCTCTTTCACAAGTGGGGCCAAGTTGAGTCTGTGAGTTTTTCAATTCTCAGGGGGTCTTCTATTCCCTCCCTGGGGAGAGTTCCTAATTCTTGGTTAGTTCCCACATAGTACTGCGAACACAAATATAGGTCTCAAGAGGATGCTCTAGAATCACATACAGTTTAAAATAGCACAGCACAGAGCATACTAGTAGATTGTAGTGGAGAGAGAGTGGACTTCGAAGGCAGATAGACCAGGATCTGAGTAGAGCTCTGCTTTTTATAATCCTGGGCAGAGACTAGTAATCCCTGAGCCCTGGCTCATCCATAACAGAAAACAATAATGCCTATCTGATAGAGACGTAAAACATCTGGTACTTAATAAGGATAACAACATCTATTCTCTTTTTCTTCTCCCATTTAATTCCCCTCCACTTTCTAATTCTACAGCCTTTTGTCATATAATCTGTAAAATGATGTTTTTTTTTTTTTATTTTCAACTCCCTCATTTAAAATAACAATCATGATTTTATCTACCATGACTATTTTGGTCACTGAAAGAGTTTAACAAAGCAGAGTGTATCAGAGTAGCCTAAAAACCTAGAGTGCTATGTCACTGTTCAGACATTCAGGACTAGCAGTGCCTTTTATAGCTTGAAAATGCCTCCAAACCTTGAATGAAAATGTGCGGGTGAGGGTGGGAAGGAGGCAGGCTTGGGGCCGAGTCATCTAGTTAAGCCTGTAAGTATACAGTCAGCATTCACCATAATTAGACACATAATTGGGGAGTTAAGTCACAGACAATGTCAATACCACATGCAAGTAATCAAGAAGCATAGAAAATCTTTCCCTGTAATGGCACCAGCTTCTCCCTGCCCCTGCTCAGGGCTACACTGCATTTATTATAAAGAATCTTTGCTGGTAGTAGTTTCTTCTAACTTTTTTTTTTTTTCAAATTTCCCAACATTTCAAGACATTCAAAAGGGAGTCAAACAAACAATATCTGCAATGGTTTGCCTTCAACTCTCCTCCCTAAACCATCAAATCCAGGACTTTTCGAAGAACCATTAAGAGACCAAAAGCTAGCCTGAAATCCTTGCTCCCAGTTCTCAAGCCCAGCCCAGAGTCCCTGCTAAAGCTGCTACCAAACAAACCCTTATTCACATAATAAGCAAAGTTTCTCTTTTTGCAGGAAAAGCTACATACACATATAATTTGAAATGGCAACTCACACATTAAATAAGTGTGAAACAGCTGTCAAGTGGATTTATCTGCATCCCACTGATCTTGCTTGTAAGCAGGGCAGAGAAATGTTGGTGGCAGAGGGGGGCTATTTTGTTTACAGGACACTGGAGCAAAGGGCTAGGTTTACTGAACACTCTTGAGGGCAGATGCAAGAATTGGCCAAACAATTATAATTAGTAGCTGAGAAGTAAAAGGAGGATTCACACCAGAAAAATACACCCCAACCTCCCCAAATCCAATACCAGAATGCTACCCCTTCCTTCCGCCCCTCCCCTACCCTGCACACACCCTTTGAAGGTCATTAACCTTTGTAAGCTTAATAAATATTTTTTTGCTGTGGGTAGAAATTATTCTTCATGTGGCTAATGGGAAAAGGGTAATTAGGTAACATCTATTATTATGTTTAAGATTATGAGAGACAAGGTATTTTCCCATTTGAGTTGTGAAATTCTTATAAATAAGAATTTAAGTAAATAAGCACTCAAGGTTTGGGAGCCCAATCCTTATTTTGTTCCTTAATGACACAGACACTGCAGATCTTATAAGAACCCCTGACAATCTCCCCTCGACCCTGGCAGCATCTGACAGGACCAGAGCTAATGGCTTACAGGTATGGGCTGGGTCCTCACACATCATCTTGTTTCCACGGCAGGTGTGTGAACCATTTCTGGGATAGTGATAAGCACCCCCCTTCCAACAAAGGCTGGGAAGGTACCCCAAAAGAAGGGAAGACAGCTTAACACTGGCGTAGGCTCTGTGACGTACCAAGAAGCCGAAGGCGATGACCTTTAGGACACATTCCAGGGAAAACACCATGGTGAAGGCGATATTCAGGTACTTCAAGGCTAGCTCATAGGTGCAGGGAGCAGAGTAGTACTGCCACAAAGAGAAAAGAGGAGAGAAAGAATCACAGGCTTCAGGTGAGAGGGGCGTTCTGTGCCACCAGGGCAAGCCTTCTCTTACGCCTGCCCTTGGGGACACTCTGGTACGGGGTGTAGGAGGAGAGATGGATGTCAAGCCCTGGAGAGGGGAGCTCCGTACTCTATATGGCAAAACAACATTGAGGCAAACACAGACTGTGCTACTTATCAGCAAAGCAGCCAGTCTTCCTGGAGATGAAGGTGGGTGGGGCGGGAACAGTTTCTAGAGTTAATTACTATTTAGTATTAATAGGACCAAAGCTCTCGGCACGCGCCTTTAGAACCCTACACTCCTCTTTCTTCCCACTTGTTCCACCCTTGACTGACTCTGACTGCCGGCCCCCAACTGTGGTCTTGGCAGCTGCTGGACGGGTACACTGCATTTTGCCCCAAAGACCCAGAGACTGGGCTGTTGAATGAGACAATATCAAAAAGAGATTCCATGACAGGAAAGCAGGTAAGGAGGCAGCAGTGTTTCCAGTGTGTCAGGCGTCCAGGCCATGGTGTGTGAGGGCACAGCCCCGAGAGCCAGCCGCCTGAGCACCTCAGGCCACCGGCTTCTCACCTTCATCATCAGCACCACGGTGTTCAGGGCGATCATGGCCATGATGGTGTACTCGAAGGACGGGGACACCACGAAGTGCCAGACACGGTACTGGAAGGTGTGCCTGTTCTGAGGCATGTAGCGGGTGAGCGGCTTGGCGCTGATGGCGAAGTCGATGCACGCCCTCTGTGGAAAGTCACAGTTGTGAGCTCACGCTCGTGTCCCTCAGCCTTGCACACTAGGGGCTCTCCATGAGATGGTTAGAAAAAGAGAATGGCACATGAGGGAAAAAAAGGGAGGACTGGACAAGCAGAAGTAGCAATGACAACAGGGATCATTTGGACAAAAGTATGTGTGAGAAATGCAGAATACAAAGCAATGGAGGGGTTCTATCACATGGTCACTCAAGGTGTCCCTTTTACATGGCTGAGATGTACAGGCAGGAAGTCTTACTTGTTGACTCCAGTTAGAAGTGCAAATCTGTCTCCCTGTGCATCCCCATAGCTCTTAGCATTTCTCTTATAATCCCTGAGTTTCTAGTTCATTTCCATTACAAAAATACTGAACACCAGATTGTGCCAGAACTATGCTTGTGGTTAGAAAAATAGTAATAAATCAATCATATTCCCTGCCCTCATAGCAAATACACACTGCTGAGGGACCCAGCCAGGTGAGCGGACATCCTAATATTATAATGTTCATGCATCGGTACCCCTACTTCCAGACTCTGCACTGAGCAACGGAGTTGATGGCATCATAAATACCTGATGTACTTTCTGGTTCTCTGTGCCTCCTGCCTGGGGGCACAGATCATGCCCCCAAAAAATGTTTATTTAATGACTGAATAGTTAATGTTCCCCATCATCTCTTCCTAGTTTTAATAAGAAAATTCAGGCTTCCTTCCTAACACCACTGGAGGTGGCTGGCCCCACCAACCCATGCTCAAGACCCCTTGTTTTACCTCATTCTTCTCCAGGCTGCACTCCTCCATCATCTTGTCCCCTTGCTCCTGGAAGGTGATGATGATCAAAGCCACAAAGATATTGACAAAGAAGAAGGGGAAGACCACAAAGTAGACCACGTAGAAGATGGACATCTCCATGCGATTGCTGCGGCTGGGCCCTCGGTCTTCCTCTGTCACGTCCACGGAGTGCTGCAGAACTCTGTGGGATGGGGGCCCCCCGGAGGGTGGAGGCAGTGTCAGCAGCTGCTCAGACTTGAGGCTTCATTAGAGGACTGCCACCTAGTCTATTTTCTGATCTGACTTCCTTAACTGCAGATCCTCCAGTAATGTGGGGAGGGAGAGTTCACAAGCAAGTTGGTGAAGATGCAGTGAACCAAGGCACTGCTCCTTCTAGCTCCTGTTCCATCAGGCATTCAACTCCAAAGAATCAGAGTGACATTATTATATAGTTCAGGTTGTCACACTTAATACCAAGAGACTCGGGATTTCAACTGGCATTTTATGACCAACTAGAGCATGCTGTTGCCCGACAGGGGTGCCTTGGTAACTGCCAAGTCTGAAAAATCAAACTTCAGCTACAGGCAGCACAAGAAATTGCATTCTGCTCTCTTCCTCCTAAGAGGTGTGATCACAGAAAGTGTCTCTGTGTTCTGCCAGCTCATTCTTAATCCTCAGTCTTCAGGTGCAGGGCCAAGTTGGAGGGAAAACCTATCTAAAACAACTCTAGGGACTCTCCTCAAGGGTGGAGAGTTGTTCAAGATTTATGTGTTCTAGAAGAGTCAGATGGCTCCACTGAAGTTCTCAACAGTTGACTAAAACATTAAGGGTTTCAAATATTTCACTGACTTTGTTACCTCCCTCTTGATTTTTGCCTTAAGGATTTTCATTCTCCCTCTCTTCTGCCTGTCTCACCCACTCACAGACACTTACTTTCCCTGGTACAATAACAAGAGGTGAGCCTTGTTTAACTTGGCTCAGCTTCTCAAGGCAAACACGTGAGCAGATCCCAGTGTACAGAAAACCATGTCCACCAATCCCAACACTCACTGCGGCCACCCTTCTCCTGTGGAGACCGTGAAGAGGGTCAGCAGGGCCCAGATGATGTTGTCGTAGTGGAACTCATGGCGCTTCCACTCCCGGCCTTTTACTTCCATCTTGTTTTTCTCATGATCAACATAGTTGCCTCTAAAGCCAGAATAGAAATGAAAGAGCATCTTTTCATTACAGCTCTTGGGAGAAAAGTAGACCCTGTGAGCTTCAATAATGTAACGTAGTGGGCCTCCCCTGGTGGCGCAGCAGAGTGCTGGGCTGCGAAGCTGCCCGCAGCCTCTGCAGTGCCGGTTCGATCCCCAGCCACTGATGAGGGTCCCACATGGTGCAACAGACCTCTCCTGTCTCGCCTGCTGCTCCCCTTAGCAGTGTATTTCCTCTTTCTGCCTGTTCTGTTCCCCACTCTGACTCTGGTGAATTCTCTCACCCTCCCGCGCTTCTGACTGTACCCAGTGCTTGTATGAATAAATAAATCTTAAAAAAAATCATTAAAAAAATAATGTAATGTGGAAATGGTTGGCGTATAAACACAAGGGAAGAGGAATAAAAATGGGATTTGTTACCCCATAGACATGGAAGATTAAGCCCTAATCCTTTCACAGTTGCCAACTAACCTTGAGCAGCTGACTTAAATTTTCTGAGCCTCAGTTTCCACATCTATAAAATGCAGATAAAACCTATCTATGAAGGTCATTACAAAGATTTAAAACTGAAATACTGGGCACAAGGGATTAAGCACCACACTATGAAGCAATCTGCAGCCTCTGCAGCATGAGATCGATCCCCAGCCAGGGAGGTGACCCACATGGCGCAGCAGACCTCTCCTCTCTCACTCGCTGCTCCCCTCAGCGGTGTATTTCAGTCAGTCTGCCTGTTCTGCTCCCCGCTTTGTCTCTGGTGAATCCTCTCACTGCCCCCCTCACCCTGCATCTCTGGCCTGTACCCCAGCTCTTGTATGCATAAATAAATCTTAAAAAAATAAAAATAAAAAATAAAACTGAAAGACTGAGTGTCAGACCAAGTCTGACACACAAAAAAGGAGCTCCATAAAAGGTTAGCAATTTCCGATGCAGACCTAGCCACAGAAGATGAGTGGGCCTCCTTGGAGCACACTTTAGCAGAATATCAAATGGTAGGTGCACTTACATGCACTCCTTCTCTGTGTCCTTGGAACTGTCTGTGCAATAAAAGAACTTTCCCTTGAAGAGCTGAACAGCAATGACAGCAAAGATGAACATGAAGAGCTTGTAGACAATGAGTATGTTGAAGACATTCTTCAAGGAAGTCACCACGCAGTCGAAGACAGCCTGTGGGGAGACAACAGACCTGCTGAGCCTGTTGTCCGTGAGGGCCTGGGTGCTTGCCCAGGGCTGAGTCGGGACCACTTCAACATCAAGAAGTTCCCCCTGCAGGTTCCACCTCACTAAAAAAGTAACAGTTATAGGATTCAGAGCTGCCTTCCTTACTGGTCGTAACTGCAAGGACTTAGCTGCTTGCCATGAATCTGAAAGCAGACTGAAATCAGTAGAGGGCCTCAGGCATAAAGGGAGCTCTTTGTAGGGTCCTGGGAGGTGCACTTAATGTGAAAGCACAACTACTGGCTGCAGAAAGGGATCTTCGAGCTCATTTAGTCCATTTTAGCCAACAAACACCATGTCCCTGGTCTCCCACGGATCTGGCAACATTCTTCGACATGGTGTGTATACTGGTTTTCTCGTTACCTTTCTAGGTGGATTACAGTGATCTGAATGGATCAGAAGGTAATAAGAACCTATTACCTTTGTTCATTTTAATAAAATTTGTAGTGATTTCAGACACATGCTCCAGTTAAGTTCAATACTGCATGTCAACAAACTCCATTTAAATCTGGTTCTCCAAGGGATGACACTTAGCAGGTTTTGTGGGAAGGAGTGAGAGCAGCCCTCCTGTCAAACAGGAGAGATGGCAGAACCAGGGACTTGTACTCCAGGGAGAGGTGACGGGCCTCCCTCTAGGCAAATACATTCTAGATCCTAAGCCATCAGGAGTTACATGGAAACTTGACACATTTCAAGCCATTTTTAGGTTATTTTCTAGGTTTTTAGGTTCAGCTCACTGGAGAGTCTAGACCCATGGTGAAGCTGAATTTGTGCAGTTGCTTCTTCGCAGCGGGCTGAACATTCTGGTTTAATTAGTTCACCACTGCGGGGGAATGTGAGTGACACGCAGGCTTGTGGAATCATCTCAGCCACCTACATTTCCCTCAAGTTACGGAGCTGCAGAGAGAGGAGCCAGCCCTTGCTAATTAAATGGAATTAAACAAGATTGCAGGTCGCTTTCTCCAGCCTGTTAACTAATGTCATCAGGCTGCACTGCACTCTTTGGGACCCCAACACAGCCCAGAAGAGAGGGGCCCCTGAAGCCTAGAACTGACAACAGTGCTCAGGGTCCCAGGCCTCCTGGCCAATATTTATTAGGAGCTGAGGCAGAAAGGAGTGACCATTTATGGGCTGACCCGGGACAGGAGCAGGGCTGGGCCTGTTACTGGGTGGAAGGGTGGGTTGTAATGAGCAAAATGTGAATGGCTTCAGGACAACTGGATAATGCCACCCTCCAGAAGGGCAGGTCGGGCAGTGAGGGAGGAAGTAGCACAAGGTCACCTCCTTTGAAGCCTGAGTGTCTCCTCAGGAATCCACTGGGAAGGACTGGGCCCTAGGCTCTGAGAGGAAGCCATGTCTCAGTCAGTTTGGCTCTTTAAGAAGTGAGTTCCTTTCTGTCTCAAGTCTTGGAATAACTTAGTTAATGTCACCTCCTTGCAGAGCCAGCGGGCTTATGGGGAAACAGGATCCTGAAGTTAATGTGGTGGAATGGGGAGGGTTGGTGGAAAATATCAGAGATGACTGGAATCCAGTGGGAAATGGAATTGGGGAAGGTGTGGCGAGGGTGTGTGGAGGGGCAGCAGGCAGCATGCTACAGGGGCTGCTGGGTCTTCAGACGGGGACTACTCACACTGCCCATATCGCTAATATGTGAGTTACAATGTATCTCCAGTTTCATTTCAAAGAAAGTCAAAGAATAAATTACTAGCTCCAGGCCCCAAAGGCCCCAATTCTCAGAGCTGGGTCTGATGCTCAAATGGCTTCTTTACCATGTGAATAGGGATTCTCAAACTGTACCATAGTACAGGCATCTGGCAAGAGGTATTAAAGGCACATTCCAAGGGCTCTGTTGCTCTGGGCTGGACCCAATAATTTGCATTTGAAGAAGCACTAAGTGGTCCTGATACAGGTGGCTGTGACCCACCCTCTAGAAGACTGCACTGGTCCAAGTGTCTCTGCAAAGTGGGAACTCCCCTCCCTGGTGGTGGTTGGCTCTCATTCACAGGAATTCAGGGAGGAAAAACTTTTCTCAGGAGGCCTCAGCTTCCATTAATAGCATTGTATGTATAGGGGAGGTGGGTCCAACACACCAGCAAACAATTCAAATGGTAATGCTCACCCTGGCAGCGGGAGGACTCCGGGAATGTCCTAGGGGTGGATGAGCAAGGGGTTGCACAGGAAGGGTGCTGGCCAGGATGGAGAGACCCTAGGTAATAAACCTGTTAAAATGCAGGTCCAGGGGCCTTCCTGAACATATCAAGGGGTTAAGGGGCTAAGATGCAGCATTATGAAGCAATCTGCAGCCACTGCAGCATGAGTTCTCTCCCTGGCCAGGGAGGTGACCCACATGGCACAGCAGACCTCTCCTGACTTGCCTGCTGCTCCCCTCAGCAGTGTATTTCAGTATATCCTCCTGTTCTGTTTCCCACTCTGTCTCTGGTGAATCCTCTCACCCCCCTCCCCACACCTCTGGTCTGTACCCCAGCTCTTGGATGCATAAATAAATCTTCAAAAAAAAAATAAAATGCAGGTCCAGGCAACTGGAAGAACTTCATTCATCTTAGATCTACTTCCCCCAATTCTCTACTCTTGCCCAAAATCACTCTGTGCTTCAAGAACACGAAGAGTCGGGGCTAGGGAAGTCTTTCTTCCTCTTGAATGATTGAGGAAAGAAAATTCCCCAGGTAACTTGCCCTGACCCAGGGTGCAGGCAGAAGACACAGGACTTTGGCAGCTTCCATTCTGGAGCATCAGGGGCAACTAATGGCACAAAGCCTCCGGGACAAAGTCACACAGGTTTTTTCCTGCAGGCAGGCGAGACCAGGGAGTATAAAATTCCATCTGGTGGTCTCAAGGGGCAAAAGCTCCATGACAAATTTCTTGGGATGTTGTTATTTTCCTTTGAAACTAAGACTCTTAGTTCAGACAAATGAAAAGAACCTCAATCCTGTGGGAGAAAGAGGTCCATTCCTAGGATGAATTCTCCAGAAGGAGACATACTGTGACTAAAGAGGAGGGTGAGAGAGGGAGGCTCGATGCCAAGAAACTGACAAGTGTTACCTTGAGCTTGGGCAGACGTTTGATGGTCTTCAGTGGCCTTAGGACCCGCAGCACCCGCAGGGACTTGATGGTCTTGATGTCCCGCCCCTTGTTGGTTCTTCAGGGGAAGGCCCCCAGGGATCAGATGATGGGGGAGAAATAAAAGTGACATTCACAGGGATGCATTAACAGGAGAGTAAGAGGGCAGAGAGGTGGGCAAGTAGCCAGAATGTGGATCAGAGTGACGCCCCCCCACTCCCCCGAGTACACACTCATGTGTGCTCATCCCTATAACACACACATACCCTTGTGCACTCACAGAGGAGGGCACAGGCACCCATGCACACGCAACTGAGGGTCTTCCTGTCCCTAACAGCCTGAGTAAGGCGGCTCAGCGTCACCTGGTGAAATTAAAATGGAAGACAGATCGACGGAGGAGCATGGCCAGCTGTCTACCTTGGATGCAGACCATGCCTAAGCCAGGGCTTCTTTAGTGGTAGCCTCTCAAAAACATTCACTGAGCTGACCAGACACCCATGGTTGAGAGTGTGTCCATCAGGGACTTGACCCTGCCCTTCCTTTACCTCTAGAATTGTCAACTTTGCAGAGTTCATTATAATGTTCAGGGGGGACAGCATTTGGAAGGGAGTGGGGACACAGCCCCATTGCTCTGCTGGGCCGCCTGTTCCGGGAAAACATGCCAGACAGGCTTCTTGCAGGGACCTTGGCTCATACCCCAGTTACCTATGTGGCTGACTCTTCCCAAGGCCCCTCCCCATTTCAGCTGCTGTACTTATCACAGGCTGCAGAGACCCATACACATAGTTGGAGAAGGTCCAAAATGCAACCCTGCCCACCCTCATCCTTGCTTCACAGCTATGGCTCCCTATCCACTCTTTTGCGAAAGTTTGCATCTAATAGATAAAACATATTTCACTTTTTATTTTTATGAGAGAGATGAATAAACCAACCTGCATTTCCCTCTCTACTCTGCTCCTCCCCTGAGATCTTTGCATTCAGCTCAAACTATTGCAATTTGTACAACTAACAGATGGTGGGAAATGAGACACAATAGTGAGCTCAGGCTTAGTTCTTCACTCACTGGCCCAGATCAGCATCACACTTACAGTCTGAGGATACGCAACACAGGACATCAGATAGGAACTCCCAGGGCTTCCCCCCAGCATGTTCCAGCCCTTTCTGCCATTCCCACCTCCCCGGACAGGGGAAGAGATGTCCATCTACCCTTCACAAAAGGCCATGTGGGAAGAAATTTAGTATAGTTCAAAGAATGTTGACTTTGTCCTGAATATGAATTTTAAGACCCTCTTCATGCTTATAGGACCAGGAATTTCAAGTTAATTTTATTCAACAATAGATCTAAATATAGATAACCAAAAAATATTGCAACGATAAGGTCTTTTAAAACCAGGGGCTGCTATAAATTTATATTTTATCAATTCTTTTACTACATTAGATTTTGATCTCTTGGACATCCAAGAAAACTTCCTTAGGAAGTCACAACCCCTTTCTCAATGGGCCAGTTCCCCTTCCCTCTCAATCACACTTCTTCCAAACCACTCCCAATATATTTTACTTCAAAGAAAAATCAAAGAAAATATTTACCCCAAAGCGTTCCTATGGAGCATCCCAGCAGAAAGCAGTAAAAAGGAAAAAAAAGGGTGGATGGGGGGAGAAAAGGGAGGCTCTCAGAAAACTTCAGGAAGGAAAGATATTCTTGTAATGACAGGAAACTGGGGAAGCCCAGACCCAAGGGACCCTACTTAGAGGCACGGACAGACCCACACCTTCTGGGGCAGGAGGGCGAGGCACCATTTGCTCTCTACACACCTCTCCAACCTGCTAAGACCTTTTGTGAGCACCAGCGAAGCTGCCTCGAGCCAGGTGGCATATGGGTATTGTCCTTTCTTCCTGGAAGCCTTGTTCAATTGAAGTTTTCTAAATATAGGCTTTTACTTTTACTTCCTTGGTAGTCTTCAGACAAGCTCTCTGTTTCCAGTGAATTTATAAGAAACTAGAGGATTCATGCCACTCTGGGGCAGAAATGACCTCTTGGGAAAGGTGTTTCACATCATGGGGACATCTTCCTGCTTGTGCAGAATTTCATCTGAAGAGGGACATGCAACCACTTTGAAAAGTTGTTCTGACATTTCCCTGAAGGGCAGAGGAGCCTTATAAAACTACTTCAAAACATGGGGGAATACATGTGTATTAAGGTCCTGATGTCCCATACGAGGATGCCTTTTGATGAGTTAAATGATCAACTTTCCCATTAGCTATTTACTCTGCAGTGTGAAGCTCTACTGGTGAGGCTTACCGCAGTAACAAAGGGCAAGAGCATATATATTTCGAGACAGAAATAACAAGAGCTAACTTTTTGAGTGTTTATTCTTGGCTAAACTAAGCCATTTTAGTACAACTCTTTCTTTAGACCTTCTGAAAACTTTAGAAGACAGGTACTGCCATGCCCATTTCATGGCTGGGATTCACAAAGGCTAAGACCCAGTGCTAGCAGAGCGAGCTGGAACTTGAATCCAAGTGTGCATGGTGCTGAGTTGGGCTATTGAGCCTCTACACTGGCAGGTTTTAGTTCCAGGCTTTGTCAAGTAGTTCACCAGTTCTAGAGCTAGGAAAGAATTCCAAAGTCCACTTAATTGCAAGGGAAACTGAGGCCATGGGAAGATGTGCCCAGGATAAGATCAGTCAATGAATGAACTGCAGATGAACCCACTGCCCTGAGGAAATGACAATCTGACTTCTGTTCTTAGTTGTTGGTTGTTGTGAATGTTACTGTTTCTCCCTATCATTCCTTACGTTTCATTAATGTACCAAAACACTATGTTATACCACCATATGCTATATGCAAAGACTTCTAATGACCAATTTACTTAGGAAATGATCCCATACTCAAAATAATATTCATTTCTACTGTAAAGGCTAAATGAGTGGAGAATGAAACCCAAGCCTTTTAAGTCTTAAATCCCTTGTGTGATAATCTCCAAATGTTCAGAGAGCAGATAGAATGTTTCCCCTTGAATTCTAACAGCTTCTTTTCACACTTGAGAGTTGGTAGGTCAGCCAAACATAACTTTATCCCAATTAAACAGCATTGATGGAGTCCTTAACGGATATCAGGTATTCTTCCAGGTGCTCAATACACCACTGTGAACAAATGAGGTCCCTAGCCTCTCGGGAGTTACCTAGTCTACTAGGAAGACAGGCCTCAAGTAAACAAACAAGGAGGTATCTGTTCCTTCTAAATGAAAGGAGCATGCCATGCTAGGTGCCACAGGAAAAACAGAATTCATTTGATTGAAAACTTTACCAAAACAACAACACAGATCACCCTCCACTTTCGAGGCTGCATTCACCTAGAAGAAAAGCTAAGGGACATTCTTGCATATCTCTCAGATAAGAGGGAGTAAGCTCTACCACCATGAGAAGGAGGTCTAGGATCACACATTCCCACCTTCCATGTGCTGCCAGCCCAGGTCCTTAACACAGACCTTTACCTCCAGTAACACTTGAGTGGTTTCTCAGGGGTTCCCATTGACACCCATCTCATACACCTGTTCAATTGTTCTAGTTAAATCACTATGCAAAAGGTAAAAGGGGTAAGCCTTGCTGTTTAAAGGAAGGTATACTATTTGTTGTTCCTCACATATCTGGATAAAGGGCAGGATTTGCAATTAATTTTGTCTCAGAATCCTAGTATACAGAACAAAGGAGTTCTCTGACCTTTGTGTGTGTGCACACATGTGTGTGTGTGTTGTGTGTGTGTTGTCCCTTGTTTTGGAAAATGGGGTTTCTTGATGGTACACTCTGATCTTAACTGACTGAGGCTGCCAAAGTACAGGGTGGGAGGCTGTCCATCCCGTTCTGCCTTTCACAAATTTGAGCCAGGAATAGTAATCAGACAGAGACCAAAAGTGATATAGAGATTAGTCATTGCTCTGCACATCTTTCAAACAGGTCTCTTACTGCAGAGAGCCCCTGGAAGCTACAATGCTGAGCAGTTGCAGAAGAGCACACTTGTAGTCTGTTTTAACATGTTCAGCACCAATTTGAGAACTGCCATTTGTAATGAAGGGAATACTGGACAGCAAAGCCAGAGAGTCAGGAGAAGTCCCGCTAATTTAAATGTATCATAACTTACACATGGGCTGGGCCAAACTTCCTTCCTCAAATGCATGCATATGTCTTATTTAAGCCATTGTCAAAGGCAATAAGAGCAAGAGAGATGTTTTATCAGACCAAGAGAACAAACTCATTAAGTCACCTTGCTTTAGAAATAATTCATGTGGGCCTCCCTGGTGGCGCAAGGGGTTAAGCACAGCACTATGAAGCTATCTGCAGCCTCTGCAGCACAAGTTGGATCACCGGCCCACCAGGGAGCTACCCACATGGCACAGCAGATCTCTCCTGGCTCTCCCATTGCTCCCCTCAGCAGTGTATTTCAGTCAGTCTGCCTGTTCTGTTCCCCACTCAGTCTCTGGTGAATCCGTTCACCCCTTGCACCTCTGGTCTATACCCCAGTTCTTGTATGCATAAATAAATCTTTTTTTAAAGAAATAATTCATGCAATCTTTACAAATCATTTAAGTATAATAATTTGGTAACACTTTGCTAGTCTTTGCTGCTAAATATATAATCAGGATTTTTTTTACGCTGCCTAGCTAATTACTGAAATTTTATCAGGTTTAAAAATTGACTCTAATGTTAAAATCTAAGGAAAATTTCACAAGCTCGGGTGCACTGGTCCCACTTTAATGGGGAATCAATTGGGCCACCCATTTTCCCATTTATTCCCTACTTATTTGGTAAGTTCCTGGCTACTCTCCAGGAAAAAGTGCCTCATTTCTCTTGTATCTCATCAGTAAAAGATGAGAATTTTCCAGCTCAATTGTCAAGCTTCTTTTCAGCTTTTCCTCATGTTTCATTCACTGCAATCTTGCACTTCAGCTTTCTAGTCCCACTTTTCTCAAGACATGCTCCCACATTAATTTCTGCTAGGAAAGGACCCTCCTTCCATGGGGAACAGAGCAGGGACAGCAGGTTCTGAAGACTCCTTCCTCCTTGAAATGGAAAGGCCTTCTG